CACCCAGCCATGACAGACATGCACTTTTTCCATGCGGAAGCGTAGTCCAGGCGTGCACAAAGATCTTCCAAGATTGTTGCTGAGTCGCGAGTGACTATGCATGCCAGGCCAGGACATGATGACAATGTCGATTTGTGTCGTTGACGCTGATGCTCAGAGCTTTTTACAGCTTCAGGGCAGTTTTTTGTTTTTGCCGGCCGAGTTCTGGTCACCAGGTTTCCCTATCCCACGGTACCGGCGGGGCAACTCAAGGGCGTGGCTACCAGCAGACATCACTGGTTCAACATGGTTCAACTAAGTTCAACCATGGCAGCCTTTAGAAACGACGAGAGTAACAATGTTTCCTGTATATAATCTGTAATGGTACTTTCTGACGGCTATAGAAGCCTATTTTTTTCCACACCAACAGGACAAAAAATGAACATAGGATAGGATGTACTGCAGTTTTAACATAGCGATGCAAAGAATAGCCAATACCATTCAAAAGGGGGTGATGTTTTCCAGCCCCCGACCCTCTACGCCTCTACCGCATTTGGGTTTGTTCAAAAAACTGCAGGAAACAACGAAAAACCCAATTTGAATACTGTTTGAACATCATGATCCAGGGGGATAATGTGGTACAGTAAGCCCAATAGCAAACCTTCCCATTTGGGGATGGTATGGGCGGTGGTTTATATTGGGCAGCTGTGCCGGACTGAGACTGGCGACAGCAAAAACGCCAGAAGGATCAGAGCAGGACGTAAGAGGCGCAAGCGCTGTTCTTTTAATCACAGGTGTGTCATGGTGAAGCCAATTTTGTAAACTCAGTAATTCATCAAGTAATTTGTGGTGAAGCATGGTAAAGCCAATGACAAATACCCCCAGAATATTACGAAACAACCAACCAGAAGTTATCCGAAGTTGAGGTATGTTCGGTTCACCGCAACCACTTGTGCATCGAGTTCCCCACAGGGCCAGCGACCTTGCAGGTCCATTCTGAATGGTCGTCAGATTGCTGTCCGAGTGAATCCTCGAACCAACAAGCCCATCCGTTTCCGTATGCACGTCTCTTGGCAGCTGGGCCTTGTGAATTCAAACTGGAGCAGAGCATAGTGCAATGATACATGAATGATAATGAAATGATGCTGATGCTGATGCTGATGCTGCTGACGCTGCTGCTGATGCTGATGGTGATGATGATGATGATGACGATGATCATGCATATCAACCAAGGTCCAGCCGGGTGACATTGTGCAAGTGATGAAGGGCAAGGACGCTGGCAAGGCACAAAATCAAGGGGCTGATGTCGGCAAATCGTGTCGAGGTTGAGTCGAGGTGTCAAGATGATTCGCAACTATTGCAACATTTGAGATCAGAAAGTTTATTTTGATTGGCTGGGTCAGCTGGGCAGCTTGCAGCAGGCGTAAGTGTAAGTACGTCAAGTGCTGGGGTTCCCAATCTTTCTGCGTAGGTTCCCACAATTGTAGGAAACACATCTCAGATCTCACTGAGCAGGCTGTTAGACAGTACGGATTCGGCATACTTCGTCAGGTCACAGAAGTGCTACGAGTCTTTCCCAAGTACAATAAGTTGCCCGGCAAACGCGGCAACCTGCGGCAATGGTGGTGGATGTGAAAGATTGTGAAAGCAGCTGGCATAGCACATGCTTGTAGCTGGCAAAATTGAGAAAACTGGATTTGGATTGATTCATTGATGGCAGACCACCATATAATGATATATAATGCGATGATGGTGAAATCTTACACTCAACACTGACCAATAGGATCCCACAGGCATTGGTTCGGGCAAGTATGTCGTGAATGCTGCATGAGTTCAATAGAAGAGGGGGCCACACTTGATTCGTTCTTATGTCGCAGATCAGCCCGTCTTAGGATTTTGTGCTTGGGCGTGAACTACTGCATCAAGCACGTGAGGCACTACTTGGGACTTCATGTCACTAACGATTAGTCACTAACCATTTCGGGTGACGTTTGTCACCATTAGAGGTGCTCGGGGCTCGGTTGATTGGGCAAGGTGGATCTTGTAAATCCACAAGGGAGATAGTTGCAGAGGCCTGAGCCTTTTCCTTTTGGGGTATAGCGATATAATGCGATATAGTGATTGTTTGATGTGTCAACTCAGTGACACTCGCAATTGTGGTGGCGGAGAAAGATTCACATCATTTCACATCTACATAAACTGTCCAATAGAATAGACTGACACAATTGTAAACATAATACGATTTATGTATGTGTGTGTGTGCGTGCGTGTATGAGGTTTCCATATGTGCACTATCATCATTGTTATTTTTCGTATTGCATACCTGAATACAGATGTATTGCTTTTTTAATGGTACCTATAGGATGGTGGCTATTTCCCCTGCAAGGCCTCAGCGTGAAGATGAGGTTGGCCAACGTGTGCAGGCGGGCTGGTGATGTGGCCAGGAATATGTCTATGGATGTCTATGGGATGATGAACAAACCAGCAATGATGAACATGATTAGTCATGTTTCCGTCATTTTTACACTAGTAAATCCACCATTTTGGGATAATATGTAGGGAATCTATTGACATGATCTGTTGTTTTTTAATGCTCCACTTCAGCAAATCCAACCCTGGCAGCTGTGAGCTTTGAGGATCAAACATTTTCCCAGGTGAAGGTTCCAAGCTGTGAAATGTGGTACAAAATACGTACTGTACGTACAGCATGTGTTTTGCTATACTCACGCATCTCTACGTTTCCATTTTTGCGCCCAAACGGACACGGGGATATTTCCCGCACATACGTGCATATATATAATATATATACACATACATACACACATATATGTGTGTGTGTGCAATTACACAGCGTAAATATGTGCATCAACCTTCATATACATATACTTTGCAATATCTCCCAACTGCCAGGAACTTCCAGGCCAGTGCAATTTCTGTCTCAGGTTGAGGCCCCTATGCATTCCTCCTGCGTGGGAGAACCTGGAGCAGCAGGGTTCGACATCGATTTCAAGCTTTGAAGAGACGGTTGAGCATAACTTAACATACCCTCTGGCAATTTAACATAACTATGGAAAATCACCATTTTTAATGGGAAAATCCACCATAGATGGCCATTTTCAATAGCTACGTTAAATTACCAGAGGGTATATTTCAGGATGGTGGCAGGGCCTGCTAGGGTCAGTTTCATAGCAACGCCTTTGTTTTGGAGCAGCGTTTCAAAGTTTGCCTGGAGCCCAGGTCATGCATTACGACCCAGAGGAAAAGATCGCGGGCCACTTGGGCATTCGTTTCCAGAAGAAGACCCGTAAGGCATGGGAGCTGAAAACGGGAAGCTGGCTGTAGAAAACACCGCTTTAGTGCTTGATTGATTTGATTGGATGTATTTGATCCATTGATCTTGGAGGTCCATTGATCTTGGATGTATATTTGATCTTAGGGAATGGGCTTGCTCTAGTAGTTGATAAGCTTTCATGTGTGTCGAACGCCAAGCTATCGCGGCCCTTGTTGCCCGACATGAAAGGAGCGCAACAATGAGTGTTTAGTCTGTGCCAGAGTCAAAATCAAAATCATCAAATAATATTAAATAATATCTCAATATATGCGCGTATAAATGTATGTAATATATATATATGTATATGTGTGTGTGTGGGTGCGCGTGTTCCATTTTGTTCCCACATGTTCCAAGTGCGATCCACCGTTCAGATCCATTCAGGATGGAAAGGAGCTTGTAAAGAAGGTGCGCTACAACAAGGCCACCGGCAATGCCTGGCACTGAGAGCACTGAGAGCACTGAGAGCACCGGCAATGCACCGGCTGAGAGCACCGGCAATGCCCCCAGGATGCGGAGCTGAGGCCATCCCAGTGAGGTTGGCGAAGAAGTGGCTTCCAGTGCTGGATCGTGGATGGCCCAGCTGATCCCAGCTGATCCCAGCCAGGGGTGCCACGACTGTGCCACTGCTAGATTTTTAGATTCGAAATGTGTTTGGAAGTTTGGAAGCTGGAATTAAAACACTACACCAAATCACTTTTGCTATATATATATTATATATATAATATAATATTTTATAATTACATACTGTATATATGATATATGCCGTCTCGCTCTCTTTCTACACTTGACTTGTCCAGTTGTATGCTAGCATGGATGTCCGGATTTTTTTTCATGTTGCCTCACCTGTTGTATAGTGATTTGGACATTTTACAGGAGCAAAGGGAGTGACTTGGAAACATTTTTTGGGGACAGGAGCAGTTTGGTGGTTCAGTCGATACATAGAGCCACCCCAATGGCGACCCAATCTGAGGCGAGGCCGAAGACGAGGACGAGTGAGCAGTGAGAGGCAATAGAGATCCACGGTACACTGACTCCATGCATTCTGCCTGATTTGGACTCACGAACTGCGTGTGCGCGCCATATCATAGTGTGCTTCTTTTTTGACACATAAATCGGTAAGACCCTCTGGTAATCCAACAGAAAGTCACCCAGCATATTGTAGATGAATTACATGATGAATCATGATGAATCTCCATCCAAAAATGAGGACGCCCAATTGCCAGGTGTTGCCAGGTGTTGCCAGGTGTCACGGCTAGGCAGGTTGGATCCAGTGTGACGGACACCATCCAGCATCGTGGGTCTCACTGCACGGTCTGCGCGGTGAAACGAAAAGTGGGCTGTGATGTTTGCACGAACCCTGAGGATGGTACACAAGAAACTGGGCTCCAGAATTATATATACTTATACTCATATATATATATATGGTTATATATGCACAAGTGTGCTAGCCTCATTTCCTTCTTGCGGAGATAGTCTAGCAGGCTTTGGACTTCGCCGTGCAAGCAGGAATAGGCTGTTGGGTGAAATGGAATTGACAAATACTTTCAAGTTGCGGGAATTTTGCTCCTTGCAATATTTGAGATACAAAGAGATGAAGCACCACAAAATCGGTATAGAATAGGTCCAAGAGACAACACAATTTGATGGCCAACCATTGCCAACCCTAAAAGATCGCTATGTTTTGAAAATTGCCAAAACCAAGATGCCACGTGTGCTGGTGGAGCACATTGTGGTCTACCTTGCGTGCACTTGCTGATGTTGCAAGGGCAGGCGGAGCAAAGCGTGGCTGGCGATCTCCCAGTGTCGCATCTTGCTTCCCCGCAAGTACAGTACCACTTCAAAACAACATGCAAGTGTATGACTAAGACGAAGATTGTTGACAAATATAGTCTTACAACGTCTTACAAATAGATGGTAAAAAGGCGTGTCAACATGGATTGATAAGTGTGTGTTTGTGCATGTAAAACTGTAAGGACATGTCCTCGCGGAGCGTTGGCCACATGACTATAATTGACTCTATTAACAGATGCTAACATCTTGTATTAAGCAATAGACCGCAGGTGGCCTTTGAGGCTTTTCAGGGTGTGCCCCGGCAACGGAACACCAGCCTCTCTGCGGACATTTGCGACCCTCAGCGACGGGTCCTAATCTTTCCGCAGCTCTTGCAGCATCTTGCAGGCACCGAAGTCTTGACTCATCTTGACTCAGCTGGAAATTGAGTCATTTGCCCAGATCTATACCTCGATCTCAGATCTATACCACAATCCCTGATGGTACTTGACTTGTAGCCAGAATCCAGACATATTGTAGCCAGACTGAAGTATGTTATGGAAATTGAGTCGTTCGCCGTTCGCATGTTTTGTTCTTAATATGTGTGATGCAGATAGCAGTCAGTCATGAGTCATAACTTTGTCCATGTCAATTTGTCAGTCTCAATTAATCAACAGTTGCCAGCCACATTTACAGTTGAGCAGTAGTATCGTTTCAACTGAAAGTTGAAAGTCAGATAAAGTGCCATGATACCACATATGATACCAGACATGAATCATCATGGATCCATGGTTCGTCATCATGTTTTCCATATGTTTTTCCATGTGTTTTCCTATAAATTGGCCATATTTGGGGGGGGTACTGCCACATTTCCCATCAGGTGGCGCCATGTTCAGCTGCCGTGCTTGCGTGCCACGGGACAAGGACGCCGACACGGTGAAGGTCAGTGTGGCGGACATCGAAGCCCGGGAGGCCGGGAGGTGCCTGAGAACCCATAAAATGAGATTTGGATGGGTAATGCCAGCAGTTTGGCATTTCTTTTGGAAAATCCTGTTTGGAAGGCCTGTTTGAAAACCTGTTTGAAAGCCTGTTTGAAGCCCATTTGACAAAGAAGATGTGCTGATTTTAAAGTGTTATCTGATTTTTGGTTGGCAAAGATATGGTTAGTCCATGTCAGTCCTGGTCCTCTTGGTGATCTCGTGATGCCACCATGACCGGCTGCGCGCCCAGCAGGTCATTGAACGATGGGATGCTGGTCAGGTACTCAGAGTTTTTGACCTCACAGGTTTGATCCAGCTGCGGGAGTTGTCGTTTGAATCAATTCAAAAAAGTTGAATATATAATAATATATATTCCCTATGGATCCAAGTACCTTCTGGGGAAGTGTTTGGGGTATGATTTGGGGGGTTAAATGTACCTTCTCAGGAGGTGTTTGGATCCATAGGGATTTATATATTTGCCATATATGTTTGATAAGCTGGTCACTCTATGTAATAATGTGTCATCCACAGTGGTACCAAACTAGCTGGTACCAAACTAGCTGGTACCAAACTGGAACCATCCCGATTTGCGACTACCATGACAAACCGTTTGATTTGTTGATTCATGTTTGTTGGAACCGATGCTGCATAATCAGCGACTAACAACCCTTACAGTGGTATGAGCAAATAATTTTTGACCGATATCAGCCTTTACAATTTACAATCCTTTGCATTGATACCTGAATTGTGCACTTTGCGCTTTGCAACCGTTTTTTTCCTGCGGTTTTGCAAACCCATTGCAAGAGCCAAAGGGCAAGCAACAAGTTGGTTTTAGATGCAGGGTTGTCTGGATTTATCATGATTTATCTATGTACTTGGTGATCTTGGTGGTTATTCTGCACTTTATTTCCATGCCTGTATGATTTCATGCTCGCTTTGATTTGTTTCTTTTTGCACATGTGTAACTATATAAGTGTATATAACATATCAATACCCATCTGAGATACCCATTATTTATACACATCGATATGCATATTCACCACTAGTGACTCCGCCGCAGTATGCTGTGTCACGAAGCAACCTGAGGTGAGGGTCGGTTTGTCGAGCTCAGAGAAGGTGATCGTTTGTTGGTGGGTGCCCCTACACGTGTCAGGGGAGCCCAGAGGTCACTTGATGGGCCTTGGTGGATACAGATGTTTTCCTCAATTTCTTGAACGGGGTAGATACATTAATTAACATGAATTAGTTTAATAACATTAATTAACTATAAATTAACATTAATTAACTATATTAGTTTGTTTGCTGAACAGCGAGCCACACCCCACAAATGGATGCTGAGAGTAAGGAAATCGATTTGGAATTGAAGGAATCCTGTGGCATCATGTTTTGGTTTCTTTATGGTCATAAGGCCTTCCCATTGTTGAGTGTTGTGATCCTCATTCGGCGGACTAAATCGTCAAGATGGTGGGTGAAATCCGTACTTGAGGTGAATGATTTCCGGCTTTCTTCGGCTTTGTTCCTACGGAAAGTGGTGTGGTTGAAATTGGTAAACCCATGTACAGAACCCCATAAGACTCCATATTTCGGTATTTCATCATTTTTTGTACTACTCCAGTGGTGGGTCATATTCGCATTGTTCCAATGAACTGTGCCAGGAAGTTGCGGACCAACTTGTGGAAGCGTGGCGTGAGCGCCGTGACCGTTGGGCACTCAGTTGTGTAAAGGCATGGTGTTCCCGTACGGTGGGCGCAAAAGTGATCAAAACATATCAAAACGGAAGATATGTTCAGATAATTTCAGAAATTGATTTAACTCTTGGAAGAATCAACCATGGGAGCAGGAATCCATGACTTAGGCGTCTCCAAAGTTGAAAAAAAAGTAGAGAACGAGCCACGTTGATTTACTTGTCAATATGGTGCTTTGGCAACTCATATATAGTTGGCGTTTTGGATTTTGTTGGCACATTTTATCAGTTTCAAACGGATTTCACAGACGGAAAAGGGGATCCAATTCTTGATATTCTTGGCAGCATGGCTGAACGGTGAGGCAAGCAAAAATCTTCTTCTGCCCTGGATGAGGCAATGGCGTGTTCTAGCTCGGACATATCGGGTGAAGGTCAAACAAATCATCCCCAAAGGCCAACAAAAATGGTTCCCTCTGGTAATTTAACATAGCTATTGAAAATGGCCATTTATAGTGGATTTACCCATGAAAAATTGTGATTTTCCATAGTTATGTTAGTTTACCAGAGGGTACTTGGTGGATAGAACATGGGCAATCCTATAAAGGGGTCCATTCGCAATGGGGCCGATAGCTTTTCCTTTGGCACTTTGCTTGCCCTCAGCTGACACTTCGGTGCAAAGCCATAGAAATTTGAACGCGACTGAATTGAGAGATTATACATCATCAGTCAGATAGTATATCAATTATGTTCATCTATATGTAGATATATTATATAGATGTATATCATATTAATATCATATTAATCAGTAAGCTTGGATACTTGTAGTATCTTGTAGTAGTTAACGTTGGATTATTCCATTCAGAAACTGCTTTCCATGACCATCTCTTCACAGTTCTGCCGGGTCAGGAGGAGCGCGAGAGTGAGAAGGCCAAGGCTGAGGAAGAGCAGCGTTTACGAAGCTTGGACCAGCGGCTGGTGGGTTATCCTGGATTACATCGGGGATTTTACACCAGCAAAAGGCAATTCATGAGTGGGATCAACAATTTTCTCAACGATACATGTTTGGATTTTTCCTCAACAGCCCTATCTTCATGGTGGTTTTCATTGTGATGGCTGGGTAAGCTTTGGTTAGGTTGATAGGCTTGTTTCGCTGCCTATGGAGAGACACAATGCCCAGAATAGCCCAGCTAAAGGGGGCACAATGAAGTCCTAATTGGTTATGTGTATGTATATACATATATATATATAATATACATAGCTCATTTTTACTGCAGGTTGGTGTGCTAACTCCGAAGAACCCCCACTTGATTGATTACCATGTGCAAATTGGAGTTGCTGCTAGTGTGGTCTGTTTCTATCGCCTCGAATGAAGGCCCCAAGATGTTTCAAATTGATCTGACATAGGTCCCTAGGATTGAAAACTCGTCTTCTCACAACGGGCCAATGAAGGCTGTTCAGGAAGATAAAAGGTGTTGCATCCTGACCATTTGGTTTGCACATGTCATCACTCATGGAGTCAGCGACCTTTGCGTTAAACGGGTGCATCTGATGCAGAGTGAATAATTAGGGGGTGCAGCTGCGGAGTGAAGCTTGAAAAGAGTGTTAACAATCGTCACGAAACTGAATACTAAGAGCCGGGGCAGTATTCGCTTCGATGTCCTGGTTTTTGCCCCAGCAAGGAGAAGAGAAGGAAGCAGAAGAGGCACTCGCACTTCTCAGAAGTTTCTGGTTCTTGTTTCTTGTCCATGGCATTTCTTTTCTCAGAGCCTATAGGGGACTTGTTCCATTTGAACCTTCCCTGAGATAATGAATCCACGTTCATATTCGCAAGAGGTTCATGTGTTCAAGGGCCTTCACGGCACCAACCAGGAACGCGAACGGCAAGCGGAGCTCGAGCGACAGAAAGAAGAAGAGGTGGGAGACACCTGCCTAAGAAATTGGTGATGTCAAGTCTCAAAGTTCAGTTGATTAGGAATGATTAGGACCTCATTCTTGCTGGTAAAACATGGTAAAACCACATGTTGGATAAATCTACTCCCATACATTCGCTTCACTTTAATTTCAGGAGGTTGCTATTTATGTCTCAAAATGTGGGAGAGTTCAGAAATCCGTCAGGATGGCCCAAATTTGCAGCATGTATAGATAGATAAGATAATATAAGAAGATAAGATAAGATAAGATATGAAGATAATTCAAGATAAGATAAGATTAGATAATAGATAGATAGATAGATAGATAATGATAGATAGATAGATAAATTGATAGATAGATAGATAGATAGCATGTATATAGTATGCACAGCATATAGTATCAATGTCAGACACACAGATTTGCGGCTGTGAGGCACGCGTCCGAAGAGATGCCAAAGTACAGGAGCAGCATGGCATCAGTGGTACTTCACCAACCTTTGCATATCATCGCATGACATGTGTGGCATACCTTTTGTTTGTGATGATGTGATGAATGTGGCCAAGTATCATGCCAAGGGCTCAGGCTGCCATTCCTGGTGCGAAGATGGTTGATTTCTTCTGATTTTCCAGGCATTTCCGGGAGTTTGTTTCTGAAGTGCAAGGTTTGACTTCTGAGTTTGCAGAAATTGTTGGAGCCAAAGCGTGGGCTATGACATTGTGCTATAGGAGGTTGTAATCTACAATTTTCCTGCCATGCCTTTCAAGGCGTGATCAGTCACATGCAAATCCATCCTCCAATACCTGGAGTGCAAGGATATTTGTCAAAATGTGATCTCTTCAAATTAGAGTCTTTAATCCCAGAAGTGACCAACACTTTCGTTTTTTTCCCAATGTTCTTTTGATAATTGAGCAGGCACCCCTTCTTTTCCGTCCCCAAACTGCGGCCACCCGAGTTGCTCCAGGAGCGCAAGCAACGTGTTGATGACTTCTTGAAGACCCATCAATTCACCGATGTTGAGACACCCAAGCGGGTGCAGGACATCGCAGAGATTTGTTCACGTCTTAGGTATGCCAGATGAAAGTTGCCATCAGAGGGATTGCAACCTTTTGTTTGTGCAAAAGAGTGCATCAGTTTATATTTTTTTTGCAGGTCTTGAGATGTTTGATTACAGGGTCTTGTGGCGACTTAGCACTCAATATTATGCAGTACTATATATAGTTCATACTAGTTGTTCCATATGTTTACCATTGGCATTGATGATATGTAAAATTTGGATCCCAGGAGAAGGTGCTGGGCGTACCATTGATGTCCAAGAGCGTTTATGCCATCCATGTGGCCGCCGAACTGGGTGATGCAGCCATGGCAGCTTGATCTAAAGCTAGTGGCTCCATCCCGGCTATTTTGATCACCAGGCTAGGCTTTTTACACAGGTTTTTGGACAAGGGTCAGATATGGGCAGATGATGTCAGATGTATGTTTGCTGCGGGAATGTGGTGCCTTTCTCACAGAGAGACCTCTCCACTTAGGTTGAGATGCTTATCAAGGCTGGCAGCTGGTTGGGCACCTGAAAGATGGCCGTACCCGGAAAGACCCGACGGTAGTATTGTTGTTCCATGGCCCACTACCACCTCCAGGGGTGGTAGCTCCAAGTATTTGCTAATATATATATATATAATCATATATATATATTCATATATATATATGTGTGTGTGTGCATCATATATGCATGCATATAGACATTAGATATGATGTATCAGAGTAAGTATTCTAAGTGCATAATATTCAAATACTCCTATACGGTCCATTGTTGATCCTTTTTGGGATAATTCCCCTGCAGGAAGGCGCAGATCCCAAGCAGAAGACGTCCACGGGGAAGACGGCCGCGGATCTTGCGAAGAAGAAGGGAAAGAGTCCCTGGGTCCAAAATGTCGCCGGATTTGCTTAAAAAAAAAAGGTTTTGCTAAGTTCCTGTAGTTGATGTATGTTGATGTTATTTCAGTAGCACCTGATGTTGGTTCAATCTTGTGTACAATACCATCTAAGTGGAAAGATCAGTGAATTGGACCCACTATTGGAGCAAACTGCATCATTCACAGATTTTTTCAGTCATATCCAGTGATAGTTAGGGTTTAGGTGGGCGCTGCGACCCAAGCAAGCAGCCAAACCTCGAGGTGCCCACAAATGGGCTACGTACGCCGCGTGATCACAGAGATAGACCTGAAATAGAAGGGCGTTGAATTCAATCGTGCTCATTTGATGTAAAGACACAGGACCAGGTGCCCACATCAAGAAACATAATCCGTAACAGTGGCATTGTCAACCGTTGGGAAGTGCTTAATAGTATTCATTAGAGTTCATTAGTGCCTTACTGGGGTCTATCCCATAACCACCGGTAACTGGGTTGTGAACAACACAATGTTAAAAGTGCATGTATAACATTGTATAATTATCTATATCTATATATATAGAGGTGTCAATGTACCTTTAAGAAAAACCTTATATCATCATATATTCCACCTCTATATATGTTTGTATTATATATATATATATACATACATTGTATATGCTATATAAGTACAATTATAATCATATATATATATATATATACGTCCCTCACGTGCACACACACACACACATATATATATATATACACACTATATTAATTGTATATTTATTGTATTTGCTGATATCTGTTTCATATGCTATATATATATGATGATGATGATTCAATCATGAATCATATGATTATGATATGTTTATTGCCCACAAATGGGTCCCACATATCCAGAACCAAGGTGGTTCCCACGACGGAGTGCTGACCGCGCTGAATCAACGCACCGCGACGATCGGTGGGGCCTGAGCCAAGTGCCATGCCGTCGGAAGTGCTGCTGGCGCTGCTGGACTCAGCCTGATGTGATTGCTGTTCAGTGGTAAGATATCCCCATATATAACATACACACTTACAAAATGTATCACCATGAAAGTATATAATTAAGAAATCATTCAGAATGGTAATGCTACTAACGTGGTAAAATGGCAATCTACTAATACTATACTAAGGAGGTAAAATGGGAAGCCAACCTACATTGCGCTCGGCGGGCCCGTGAAAAGTATAGTTCTTCTGCAATTCCGACCAAAGCAGTTTTCTGTGTAAGGAGGATTGGAACATTATTTTCTGCAATACGATGATTTCAGGTGAGTGCTCTTTTGGCGCGGCGCTCGACTGCGCTCATTAATTCAAATTCATTGCCTGCGCTTGCAATTTCATTCTCGCGCAGGGTTCCGCAAGTTCCAGCCATAATGTGTAACATGCAAGAACCCAAGAAAAAGTAAAAGCTCCAGCAAGAAGGAACGCAACATTCATGAGATGATGTATCGTGATTGTACCTGGCGTTCGTATGTTTGCAGGTGTTCACAATGTTTCAATTGACCTTTTCAGGGCGCAAGCCAGTGAATGCAACCTTTCCTTGATGCCGATTTTGATTTTGATCTTGATAGATGCAAGGTTCAAGATGCAAGGTAAGGGCATGGCGGCATGGCATGAAAATCATGAAATACATGGAGCCCGTGGAATTAACAAATGAACACGAGACCTTTGACATAGCCACATAGTTACTTGTTTTTTTTAATGTTTATCGCTTGTACCATATAATTATACATGTGGGCTGGGGTGGGCATTAATGCAAACACCTTGGAATAGGCTGTTCTGCTGAAGCCATTGTGCGCGAGACTTTTTCAACCCGGGAGCCACAAGAGAAGCAGCATCGAATCCCCAAGCCCTTCTATGCCCTTCTGGCACTTCATGCAGCCACATCGGCGGAGGTCCTTAGTCACAGGCATGGCATGTTGGTTTCCATTGGCGAGGTGGTAGCTTCAAAAAACTTTCTCCTCAAATGCCGCAAGACGAATCTAGTTGGACGCAAAGCAAATGTATGTCGACAAGCACCAAATGTTTCAGCTTCTCTGAGATATGAATGGGATGGACTTTAAGACATTTTAAGATGAAGGGCTCCACATGTTTGTTTCCAACACTTGGCATTTTAGCAGACCCTGGGTATTCCATTCACCTGGCCACCCGCAAATGGCCACAAATGGCCACGATGGCCTTGCCGCAGCCGATGCTGGTGGTACAAACTCCGATGTCGTCCTGTCGCACGGCACTCAGGGAAGGCTGACTGCGATTTCAGGATGCCCTTCCAACTTTGTAACACTTGAATGGCTCAATCTTGGAATCTTGTCATGTTATGAATTTTCTCTTCCAATGTTGTGTGACTGAAACTCCGGCTATGCCAGCATCCGATGGATCCGATGGGGCATGGAATCTTGATGGAGGGAGAATGAGAGAGATGTGTGTTGGTTCCAGCGGAGGCCCATCACCTAAGATGCCAGCTTTCACCTTTTTTGTGTCCATCATTTTTCGATGAGTAAAACCTGTGCATATGTACGCATGGATAAATATAGTCTGATAGATGGATAGATAGATGGATGGATAGATAGATAGATAGTTAGAGTTAGATTGTTTGCTTGCTTGCTTGCTTGCTTGCTGGATTGATTGATTGATTGATTGATTGATTTATTGATTGATTGATTGAGAGAGCGAGAGAGTGAGAGAGTGAGAGATTGAGAGATAGAGAGAAGGAAAAAAGGAATAAAGGAATAGATAAATAAACACAATAAAAGAAAAACAAAATAAGAGAAGAGAAGAGAAGAGAAAAGAAAAGAAACACATGAACAGAATAGAACAGAAAAGAAAAGAATAGAAAGGAAGGGAGGAAGGGATGAATAAAGGAAGCAACTAAATAAAGAAAACAATAATGCCAGAAAACAACAAATGAAGTAAATGAATAAAGACATATAGAGAGAGAGAGAGAGAGAGGGAGAGAGAGAGAGAGAGAGAGAGAGAGACAGAGACAGAGACATACCAATAGAAAGCTAGATATATTCAACAGCATGAATAATTTCCAGTCAGTTTTAATTGAAGTTTTGAACACCGCTCAACTGGATGTATAGATTTACATAGAGATACTTTGTCCATACATTGATGCAGACACAATATATATATATAATATTATATATACAATATATATTATACATATATATATTTCTTTTTTTTAAAGATCATTTGATTTACGGTATAGTCGTGTAGGTATTGGTGCTTTGCCGCCCCATTGATTGCCATCGATTCGAGGTGAACGGATGCATCACTCTGCATATTTCAGAAGTCACGAGTTCCAGCTAAGACCAGTGGCATGCAGATGCCTGGCTGCCATTGGCCCTTGGGTGTGCTGAAAGGCATCCTTGTCAATGCCAGAATGCCAGTGTCAAGATGAAAAAACATCATTGGCAGCAGGATGCAGATCAGAGCCGGTTTTTCTTGGGGAAAAGCAAATTCCTTTGGGCCCCACACATTGAATCCCATTGCTGGTTGTTGGTGGGAATTCTCACCGTGACAACTGCCCAGACCGGGGATGGATTAGTCTTTCAATGTGACAACTGTGGCTGCTTCATCTAAAATCTTGGCAGCACACGATTGACACCGTTTCCCCGGAGGCCACCAGAAACACTTCGTATTTGCATATATTTGCACCAATGTTCACCTTCGGTCCAAGGGACCATTTGCGGCAACCCCCAGGAGCCGGACTTCAAAAGGCCATGGTATTGCCATGGTGCCATCATTTCCCGTGGTTTTTCCATGGTTTACCAAGCTAAGGATTGAGGCCAACCTTGGCCCCACAACTGCCATCCTCACTGGTCTCCTGGCGCCTTCCCAGCAGCCACTTTTCCAGGGCATGTGGTGAAGGGGAAGTACCCAAGGAAGCGCCGGAGGAAGCGGAGCAAGTACCGAAGATTCGAAATTCCACTGTTTCCAGGGCATGTGGTGAAGGGGAAGTACTTGAGGAAGCGCCGGAGGAAGCGGAGCAAGTACCGAAGATTCGAAATTCCCCTGGGTGACTTGACCTGGGGTTTGAAATGGGCTATCCACATGGCAGTTTGATGTCATGTTACTGGGAAATGATGGTCAACCGTGGTCGCGCAGGTTTTGGGGCACTGTATCTGACAAACGCACCAGATCTGTTGGGGTCTGGTGAACTGATGTTTCACAGTTTTACTCTTCCCTTGGTAGCTGGTAGCTTTCTGTTTGTGACAAAGTCAGGTAGGGGGTTCATTCTGGGCTGTGTGATTTGGTTGCAACCTTGAGGCTTTGGAAGAGTTCGGAAGTGGTTCTTGGGGTCTGTACCTCTATCATGATAGAGGTTATTTTCGCTGCAAGGACTTCTCACTAGCCAATACTAGCCAGTATTTCAGCAAATTCGGATGTCCATATATTATTTAGACATATTCATACATACCAGTACATATTACACATCCATAAATATCCAAATAATTAGTATCCACCAGTCGTCTATCCCACAACACCCAGTGGCCGCCTTTTTAAAGTCGCTGTCACCGAGGAGGTTCATCTTCCTGGCAGCTCGGCTTTGGATGAGTTTATCCCATCGTTATCCCCCCAAAATATTGCCACTTTCAGACAAAGCCATATGGAGGTTTCCCGAATGTATATGAATGTATATCATAGGTCTACAGATCATCGCATATCGTTAGCTTTTTTGGATTGTCGATATACATTACTTCGTTTTGGGGGTGGGGGGCAAATCTACACCCAGCATGCTGTAGCCTTGTAGGTGTATTTTATGCACCTGTTGAGCTTCACCATGGGAGGACTGCAACCTCTGCAGACCAGAGCTTCATTGTTTGTCAAACAGCTGCTTCAGTTTTGCACACTTTCCTCAATTTCGCACACCTTTGGCTTTTGAGTCCTTGGTAAAGAGGATTGGAGTTTTAAGTTTCAGATGGCAAACACCGTTCGCCACAGCACCATGCCATGGCCAGGACCTTTGCTGCCGATGTTGCGCAAACATTTCCATTTGGTTGCTGCAAAGACAGGGCTCCTGACATCAGCTTTTCCTTTCGGTATGCTTTTCGCGTCTAGGTTTATAGGGTGCCAGGGTCCCTGTGGCTTGGGGCATCCTCAAGATGGTTACCATCACCGGCATCATTGCAATCTCTGGTGATTTCAAACGCTGTTCTCGTTGATTTTCCATCCTGCCTTGGGTGATGATCCCAATTAAGAAAATCCTTGTTTGATGACTTGTGTAGGCTGAAAGCTAACTTTCCAGCTAAAAACTCACACGCCAAGCAGCACTTTCAAGCAAATTGGCCTCAATAAACCCTCAATTTCGTGCCGTGAACTCATAATTTCAGGATGTATAATATGTATATGATTGCATATGTATTTGTAGCTATATAGGATCACATAATCATACATTATTTTCAATATATTCCCATTGATCATGTTTAGTCTGCACCTGGTTGCCAAATTCTCCCGAAGACCTCGATCCCCAAGGCACTGGCCGTTTTTCCGGGCCTCAGCGATCGCTATGGCCGCAGCTTGGTTGCCAATTTCCAGGTATTTCCAAGTTATCCCTGGGGAATCCCTGGTGAAAATCCGTGGCGGATGGCCTATGATGGCCTGATGTTCCACACAGGATGCAACCTGTCGTGCACCCTGTCGCTATCAGCAAACCAGCTGGAGTGTTTGCACTTCAGCGTCCATTCACCAACGGGCAATCCAACCATTCCAATGGACAGTCTCCCAAAAACTCTCTACCAGTTGTAACACCCTTCCTTACTTTTGCACAAGCATCCTTCTTTTTCTCCAGAATTCTCCCAGACCACTGCTGAGGAAGACCGATCCTGATCATTTGCTTCGCCGGCTTAACTTGTGGTTTCTTGCATCTCGGACTGATCCAAGCAGGATGCAGCGTGCAGGTTCCCAGCAAGCCTTAGTTTTCATTGAAATTACGAAGAGAGCAATGGTTATGGAGTGCTCCTTCACAGCTTAGTGTACGCTATTTTATCACTGCATATTACAAGACCAGATCAAGCTACTCTACCAATCTGTGCCATAATTACTGCTGCTTTCATTTTTGGTGTTTTTTTTTTGGTACTTAATCTTCAAGACTATATACTACTTGAAAAGTGATGATGCCCAAAACGGCCTGGCGCAGCATGTTCCAGGTTGCAGGCGAAGGCGCTCCTTAGCAACTGGTCCTTTGTCGCTTGACAGGTCCAATTTGGATTCCTCGACTGGTTGATGGATGTTGATGCTATGGGGGTATGTTAATTCATGGTATATCTCCATTAGTCATACAGTATTTTAAAGAATCAATATAGTAAACTATAGTAAACTATCGGGATGCTTTAGGACTAAACTCTAAGATGTGTTACCAGCATGCTTTTTCGGAACATGGCATCCATTGGTTGCGAGTCCTCCGCACTTCATGCTGATCCATTGCCACTTTGAGTAACTCTCTGAGTGCGCTAAAGGATGCCAAGGTTCTGCACAAGTTCTTCTTTTTGCAGATTTTTGCACTAGAATCTCGCTATCCTACCGACATCAGTTTCGATTCGATTTCGTTGAAAGATCTACAGCTAGAAAATCTTGAGCCTCTCAAAGTCTCTCAAAGCATGGCCACAGAATGATCCTATATAGGCACTTCAATCCTAACCATCGGCAAAATTGAAGATCATTCAAGTTCCTAGATGGTGGATTTGAGCCCCTCGCCATATCCGGATCACCCTAGGAAGCCTTTTTGATATTTCGGGCGCTCAGCGGGGCTTTCGCTGGATGCGCAGTTGCAGCTGTCCTGAAGGGTCGGGTGAGTTTTTACCAGTCAGGCCGTGGCAATTAGTTGTGGCATCCTTTTGGATCAGGGGTCAACAAAGAAACCTAGATTCGGAAACTACAAGAAATGATAACTAATGCCAATTGCCAACATCATCCTCAAGCTGTGGGTTGCGGGGTCTGTTGACCGGGCAAATTCAAATTGGTTTTCCTGGGTATTGAGGAGATGCCTGGAGGCAGAACAATTCTGGCGGAAAAAACCAGCATGCTCGGCATATTGCATGCTTTCTATATGGCTGACTGATCAATTTCACAACCTTGCTTTACGTTGGCAACTGCAGAGGCAGAGGAAATGCCTACATAATTGGTATCCTCTAATTGGATTAATTAAGATTGGTTTGCCCTTTGGATACTTGGGGAAACCGAAGCACAGATTGGCAACAATTGTGTTTCACTGCGTGTTCCCGTTTACCAATGCCCCGGACGTCCAAAGCTGTTCCGCAGTGTTTTTCACACGGGCGATTCAGGTGGGTTTGTTTGAAAAGTGGCTGCAACAGAATCTCGTGGTTGCACGAACCTCATGTTGCTGATTATTCCCATCGTAATGTTCACAGTTTTCTCCAGTCTATTCTCCATCAGCACAGGTTTATCCAGTCTAAAACCAGTTGGAAGTCATTATCATTGGTGAACCAGTTATTAGATGTTTTCTGAGTAATTAGATGTAATTAGCCAGTTACAAACCCTGCTGTTATAAACCAGTTGAAATATGATTTCGTAAAATTTCCAGGTCATGAAAGCATTCATTGCGGATGCCTATACCAACCCCAAGCAGCTCCCGCAAGCCATGGCCTTCCGTGACTTGGCTTTCTTTTTCGAGCGGAAATGGCAACCTTTCAGGATGATAGGTGGACAATCGCTGTTTTGAATAGATGCATCTTGTATAAATAGGTAATTTTGAATAGCTATAGTGTTTTAAATGTGTTAAATGAGGAAACCAACAAAAATTAATTGGAATCATTGGCAAACCACTACATATTTAAAAAAATAGCTCCGAGCTCCCCAGAAGAAAAAGAACGCCAACATATCTAAATTCTGGGATAAATTGGGTACCAATGGACCCGATGGGCACACAGACACAACAAGATTTGCTGTTGTTGGGACCAGAATCCTTCCATTTTGGGGGATGATTTCATTCATTTTGACTTTGAGGGACATGTGGGAGTAGATTGAACTCATATGAACTGATAGCAGGCACCAAACATTGATAAATTCAGCTTATTCAGCTGACATGAGCCACCAAAACTGGGGTATATACAGATGTGTCAGTTGTATAAACAGGCTGATGGCTCCAACCCATTCCAACATGTTCATTTTCTGACCTCTGTTTGGTTAGCAAGCAACAGCCACTGACCTTATCTGATCAATGGTTTTTACGCCAGGAGAAGCTACTGGCACCGCGTTCCCCGGCTGAATTTTGGCCAAGCTTTGGAGTTCTCACCACGACTTCCTTTCCCGTAGATTTGATTTGAGATCAGGCAGTTGTTGCTCAAAGTCATCATCATCTTGCTTGAAACATCATGTATCATCATGTATCATCATGTATCATCATGTATCATCATGTATATATATAATCATAATTAATTTCCTCATTGTTCTGCCAATAGCTGCTAAATCTTCTCCACATATTTGAGGCGTCTCTCATGACGCCGTAGCTGCAGGTCGTACATTGTTGGGCCAACCCTTGGTGGCATCCTCATCTCAATGGGTGGAATCGCCTCCATCACCCTCACCGGTGCTGTCCTGCACCTTGGATACCTTGGTGATCAAATGTCTCCCTGGAACCCATGGTGACATGATGTGGATCCAGTGATTTTGGTGGATTTTTGGGGGTCCCAAAACTTGAGCAAACGACTGGTATGAAACATGTTACGATAGGCGGACGGGATGATTAGGGGGAAGGGACTAGGGAAGAGTCCAAGATTCTTTGTGATTACTGTACGTTACATTACGTTACTGGTACTGTGCAAAATAGCAACGGTTCCATTTTCCAGATGTCCTGCAAGTGTTTGAAGGGATAGTGTGTGGTGTAGGGACAACTGTTGCCTTTACCTGTCGCATGTCAAAACTCCCGAAGAAGAATCTTGACTTTATTGGGATTGTATTTATGCATGTGCTGGCGAGCATCGGTCCGGATGCAGGCTATCATTCCAAGACAAGTGTCAGTGCCAAATTGACCCCTAGTGACCTAGTGAAACCATGCTACAGGCCTGACCAAAGCGCCTTAGGTCTATAGTATCGATCTTTATCTTGCTCTGCATGGCGCCCACACCACAGGCACGGAACGGTGCAGCACTGGCTGTGTGCCATGGAAAGTCATGCGCATAGGCCACGAATTTGGCTCATACATGGGTTGATACAATGATTGGTGGGGTGGGGTGGAGGGTGAATTTAGTGCCGCTCCATCCTGAGAGGTGAAACGTGGCAGGGCCAAACCAGGGAACGATGCCGATGGAAAGATGCCATTGCAGCTGGTGACACTTGGCAGCTGATGGAAGATCTTTGGTGGATGGGGGATGGGGATTGTAGTTTGGGGAACAGCGATGGTAGTGGGAGCGCCAGTTGGAGCCTTGAATTTCGGTCCCTCACTTACAGCCTTGAACCGCGCCATCCAAACAACAAGCACGGCCAGCCTGTGCTCTGAACTGCAAGTGCAAGTGGCTGCCTGCCACCATGCTCAAACCTTCACAAACCTTGCGCGGATGCATGCACAGCTGCAAGAGTGCTTGAAGTGGGCTTGAGGGAGGCGTGCTGTAACTTTGCAAACCCCCACCCACTCAACACCATTTTGGCCCAAGGGCCTAGACAGTTGTTGCCACCCTTGGCTGCCTGCCAGGGTGGCAGGCTATGTGACCACCCATTGCAAAAAGGAGCGCAAGTGATAAGTGTGGCAATATTAATATGACACTCTATTTGTATCATGTGTGTATCATCTTTGTATCTGTTTATTGCTGAAGTGAGAAAGCGTAATCTGTGCAATTGGTGGCTTCGTTCCAACCCCCCTCAAGTCCTTCCTGGTCATTGCCATCGCCTCAGTTCTATCGTGATCTTTGTGCACGGTCTCTACGGTCTGGGGCAGTCCGTTTTCGAAGCTTTCTTTGGAGCACCTTGGTGGAAAGAGATCGGGAGTCCATGGGAGTCCCCTACCAGCTAAGTCATCCTACGACTGGGGTTGGGTTGGATTAAAATATAGTTGAACATATTTGAACTATTTTGAACTTATGAATGTATAAAACTTATAACATCTTAGAACATTTTTTAACACTGGCCATTTGGTTGGTACAAAAGGCCGGTCACGGTAGGTTTGATATGTCGTAATTGCATGGATATTTGGCAAGGTGCACTTGTGACTGGCGTGGTGATGCTATCCCCAATACCGTAAATCGAGTGGGTATGATTTTAAGTGGATCCTAAGTCGGTGCACTTTCATCTTTTCAATTAGTTTCCATTGAAGTTCTACACATGAAAATTGTATGCCATGTGTTAGCATTTAATTCAATCTGTCATCGGAGTCATCGGTATCCAATTGATCTTGTAGCTCTCAACTTCAGGAAATCTTTCAAACCATCAGGAAGCGCATTTCCGACTTCCAAGGTGTGGTGCTTTGAGCATTTTGGCTTGGGCCCTGCATCTGTGGGACCTCTTCTGACCTGCTTGGCATGCTTGGTTGCTTAGATGATCTTTTATAATCTTTGATTCTTCCCAGTTGTTGGAACAGTGGAACATAGTTGAACAACCAGGGCAAACACAAAAATTTCCTCCTGTTCAAGGGCAAAGGCTTCTGACGGAAAGTTTGTTTGCAAGATTCCATTCTAGATGTCGGGGATGTCGGGGATGTTTTGGTCATGTTTGGTCTTCGACATCGGGAAAAGTAACTGCATTGCAAACAGCAGGAGCAGAAGCAGTGCTTAGAGTAGCATCAAAACGTCAACCCTCATCAGCCCATCCGTTTCTGATCGTTTCAATCATTTACTGTATATATATATCTATATACATACACGTATATATACATATCATGTTTATCATTTTACTCAAGTGGGTTTGTCTCAAACCACCGAAATTGTAATTATATTGCAAAACAGGTGATGAAGTGGTGGATTCGGATTCCCTATTTTTAGGCGAAGCCAATAGGCTGATTCATGCGTTTTTTTTTTGTGATGTGTTGATTCTTTTGCAAACGTCAAGCGGCTTGTTGGACAAGGTTTTCCTGGCCCACACTTTCCTCTACCGTGTCTTGGTGCCCCTTGGCCTAGTGCAGTGGGCCTCCCGGTATCCAGTGACATTTGCCAGCAGCGTGCTGCTGACCAAGGAATAACTTTGGTGTGGTGGAAGTGGCAGTCATGGGCCGCTTGTCCAGCCATGGGGTCATGGGATTTTAGCAGTGTTGCCGCTGCCATGGCAACCAGGTGGTGCCAGCACACGCCAGCACCGAGGTTTGCTGTCCATGGCAAGTGCGTTTCTTGCGATGTGTGCTGGAAGTTTGTGCTGGGTGCTCCTGTTCTATGCCTTTGGGGTGGCTTGTCACCGCGCTTTAAGGGCCCGGAAGGGTGGGTGCCTGTGAAAGGTGGGCTTAAAGTGAGTCCCCAAAGGGAAAGGAAGGCCTTGGAGTCCAAGAAGTCGTGAAATACAAGTTGTTTTTTAATTATTATAGATTACAAATGAGATCCGCCAACACTGCCAACACCTTGAATAGACAGAACATGCCAAAGTACCTCCAGCCGGGAATACACATTCACATGACTCGCATTTGCTATTTGTTGGAAATGTTTTTTTGGTTGTAACATAGAAGGCATTTTTATATATATATATATATCTATTATCTATATAAGCACACCACATCCAGGTACTGCACCCTCCATTCGCCGTGAGGTCCCATCCTTCACCCCCAGCGTCCCCATTCTGCTGGCGAAGCTGGCGCCGCCACACCAGCGTGGTCGAATCATCGCAGTGGATGCGGGAGAAGCTCAGCCAAAAAAGCGTTGGACGGTTGGCTTGATGAAGTGGATGGATTCAAAATGGTTCTGCTTGGTGTTGTTTACCCTCTGGTAAACTAACATAGCTCTTGAAAATCACCATTTTTAATGGGAAATTCCACTATTAATCACCATTTTCAATAGCTACGTTAAATTACCAGAGGGTACTTTCTGGTAACTTGAACCAAGCAGAAGCGATTCCTTTGGCATGTTGTGACATAACGAATGATCATTAAGATGAATTAAGGTGACAGCTTGCTGTGTAAAGATTCCTTGGAGGTCTTAGATTTCATGATGAACGTGGTTTTGGGTCCGGAAAGAAAATCATGCATGTGGATCTACGAAGCATGTTACACAGAGAAACAGCTTAGATCTTTGTGGCCAAAGTGTTGCTGTATGGGATCAAGCCGGCACAATGGAGTTGACATTAGCGGGAGGTCCATGAAATCCGATAGATTGGCCAAGGTAGAATTTTGTATCCTAAGTTTTCAGATAATTTGTTCAGATTGATTTGCTAATTATATACATGTCATTGTGTCACTATGTCATTGCCTACCATGATTCAATGACAATTGCCAAAAGTCTATTAGTATCATCGCCAAAAGTTGGATTGTATACCCGTATTGGGGGATGTCCATCAATAAAAACTAACCAATAAGGATTTATATACCGACTGTAAACATTCCCATTCCCATTACGGGATGGATGACCATAAACACCAAAAACCATATACCATCTTGGTTTGAAGGCGATGGAGAGAGGGAGATATACAATGTTTTGACCCCTACGCCCACCTACCAACTATCCGCAGTAGGTACTTTGCATATATGTATGGATTTTTATGATATGAAACACACGCGTATATATATATATACACATAATATAATTACCTATACAATTATGTAACTTATATCTATATTAAGAACAAGTAAATAAATAAATAATTGTATGTATACATACAAAAATATACATATATATGGGATGGTGCCTCTGTTGTGCACGCAAAATCCGACTCAGTTGTGCACACGAAAATAAACAACTCAGTTGTGCACGATGATGATGATGATGAGGATTATTATGATGATGATGATCATGAGGATTATTATTATTATTATTATGATGATTGTAATGAGTATGGTGATGAGGATGATCGTGAGGACCCTGAGGACCACGAGGGTGAAGATTGGAAAATTAGGATGGCGAGCCTGACGTTCTTGTTGCCGAGCACCTCACATCCCTCATTGCATGCTGACTGCTGGGTCACATATATATATATATATATACATATTATATTTGGTTTTATTTGTTATGATTCGGATGTTGAAACTTGTTGAGCTGTATCGGTTTGTGAGACTTGTACCTTTTCTTCTCTAGCCCCACCCCACCCCCCAAGGTCGAAGTGTGATGGTAAGTGGAAGGAAGTTGGGTAGCGATTGTGTCCCTATAATGAAGTTTAGCAACGGGTGTGGCTGGTAGATCCTACCCTTTTTCTTCTTTAGCCCCACCCCACCCCCAAGGTTGAAGTGTGATGGTAAGTGGAAGGAAGTTGGGTAGCGATTGTGTCCCTATAATGAAGTTTAGCAACGGGTGTGGCTGGTAGATCCTACCCTTTTCTTCACTAGCCCCACCCCACCCCCCAAGGTTGAAGTGTGATGGTAAGCGGAAGGAAGTTGGGTAGCGATTGTGTCCCTGTAATGAAGTTTAGCAACGGGTGTGGCTGGTAGATCCTACCCTTTTCTTCTCTAGCCCCACCCCACCCCCCAAGGTTGAAGTGTGATGGTAAGTGGAAGGAAGTTGGGTAGCGATTGTGTCCCTATAATGAAGTTTAGCAACGGGTGTGGCTGGTAGATCCTACCCTTTTCTTCTCTAGCCCCACCCTACCCCCCAAGGTTGAAGTGTGATGGTAAGTGGAAGGAAGTTGGGTAGCGATTGTGTCCCTATAATGAAGTTTAGCAACGGGTGTGGCACCCCACCCCCCAAAGGTTGAAGTGTGATGGTAAGTGGAAGGAAGTTGGGTAGCGATTGTGTCCCTATAATGAAGTTTAGCAACGGGTGTGGCTGGTAGATCCTACCCTTTTCTTCCCTAGCCCCACCCCACTCCCCAAGGTTGTGTGTACAAGTGAGGCAATTTTATGTAAATTGAGGCTTTTGTGTGTACGACTGAGTCAAAATCTGAATCAAAATCTGTGCACAAGGGAATAAATTTTGGGTTCGCAAGTGACGCTCTGACCTATATATATATATGTATATATATCTATATGTATATATACCCTAGGGGTCCAACACCACTGAGAACAAAGGGTTTTAGTAGAACCCCCTTTGTTTGCCATGGGGGTCTGGCCCCCAAGGCCAGGTTCCCTGGCACACCGGACTTCATTTTTCACCATCAACCCCGGTTGTTCGCCAAGCGCGCTTCCAAACAGTTATAGGACCCAAAATCAAACCCAAAGAGTGAAATATTTTAGAATGCTGCCATCACAAAAAAATGGTGGTTCTGCTGCAGAGTTAACTTGCTGTAATTATACAGTAGTACAGTAATAAATTGAACTTACGAATTTTCGAAGCTATTTAATGGCAAGGACTTTCTGATGTATCAGTGGATCAAACAGTTCCTACAATCCAGCGGCGCATGCTCAATGGTGCAACCATCCAAGTATTAATCGTAAATAACAATGACACAAATCGGTGATGGGCCCCCCTTAGCCGTCCACGGTGCATAATCCAGCGGATTAAACGGCTGGGGTGAGCACAAAGGTAAACTCTTTGGCACCAATAGATACTGACTAGATCGACCCACAGACAGTGAGGCTGGGGCCTTGGTAAGCACACCCGCGTATATACATGACAAATGTATTTATATGTCGAAATATTTATGTAGGATTCATCTTTGAATGTGTGCATATATGTATGTCATAGAATGTGTGCATGCGATCATGCGAGCAAAAACCATGAGACGCAATATTAAATACTAGCTAATATCTGATATTAAAAAAACAATTCTATCAACTCATATTTATATATATAAAGCATATTGATTTCCCACACTATGATGGTATTACAATCCTTCCAGATTGTTTTAACTTGCAGCAAATTGTCAATTCCCACCATTGTACAGTAGTTGATGCAAATGGCATAGGCAGTCTAAGAACAGTAAAGAAGCGTGGGCGAGTTACTAGCACTCAGAACGGTATGGTTCACTAACTCGGTGCGAAATCGTACCATAGCTGACTATGTAACAATGATAGAGTACAGTGGGTACAGGGCGTGCAGTAGTTCGACGAACCACAAGAGATACATAGCCGGTGTGTCGATTGTAGATATGTTATGTTGATTAGTTGGCTAAGAACCCTATTGAAATTCCAAAATATTTGCAAATGTGTTCTGTCATTTAACTAATTAGATAATGTTGGGTGTTGATTTATCAAAGGGTGATGATTTAAGAAAAGTTTTCCAAAATTATTCCAGACCCCCCTGGGTTGAAAAGGGTCATGATTAAAGACAAGTTTTTTGGGGGGAGTTATTTTTTTTGGATTTTCTCTTGTCCTTTGCGTTCTTTATCTTTTCCTTGTCCCTTTGAGTTCTTTATCTTTTCCTTTTACTTTCTATTGGCCATTTACTAAACTGAGAGCTTCCTGAAATGGCTGGTCCCTTTATTAAACTCCTTTTAAAATATTGAGGTTTGACAATTTTCCAAGAGGGTAGCCCAGGAAGAGCCAGGATGTTGAATAATAGGTTTGTCAAAAGGGTGTTGATTAATGCACAAAACTTTTTGGGGGTGGTCTTGTCTGCTTCTTCCTTTTCTTTTCCCTTTGAGTTCTTTATCTTTTCCTTTTACTTTTCATTGGCCATTTGCTATACTGAGAGCTTTCTCAAATGGTTGATCCCTTTATTAAACTCCTTTTAAGATATTGAGGTTTGACAATTTTCCAAGAGGGTAGCCCTGGAAGAGCCAGGATGTTGAATAATAGGTTTGTCAAAAGGGCGTTGATTAATGCAAAAAACTTTTTGGGGGTGGTCCTGGCTGCTTCTTCCTTTTCTTTTCCCTTTGAGTTCTTTATCTGTTCCTTTTACTTTCTATTGGTCATTTGCTAAACTGAGAGCTTTCTCAAATGGCTAATCCCTTTATTAAACTCCTTTTAAAGTATCGAGGTTTGACAATTTTCCAAGAGGGTAGCCCTGGAAGAGCCAGGATGTTGAATAATAGGTTTGTTAAAAGGGTGTTGATTAATGCAAAAAACTTTTTGGGGGTGGTCCTGGCTGCGTCTTCCTTTTCTTTACCCTTTGAATTCTTTATCTTTTCCTTTTACTTTTTATTGGCCGTTTGCTAACCTGAGAGCTTTCTCAAATGGCTGATCCCTTTATTAAACTCCTTTTAAACTAGTGAGGTTTGACAATTTTCCAAGAGGGTAGCCCAGGAAGAGCCAGGATGTTGAATAGTAGGTTTGTCAAAAGGGTTTTGGTTAATGCAAAAAACTTTTTGGGGGTGATCCTGGCAGCTTCTTCCTTTTCTTTTCCCTTTGAGTTCTTTATCTTTTCCTTTTACTTTCTATTGGTCATTTGCTAAACTGAGAGCTTTCTCAAATGGCTAATCCCTTTATTAAACTCCTTTTAAAGTATTGAGGTTTGACAATTTTTCAAGAGGGTAGCCCAGCCCAGAAAGAGCCAGGATGTTGAATAATAGGTTTGTCAAAAGGGTGTTGATTAATGCAAAAAACTTTTTGGGGGTGGTCCTGGCTGCTTCTTCCTTTCCTTTACCCTTTGAGTTCTTTATCTTTTCCTTTTACTTAGAGAGATCAAAGAGGAGTAGGGAAGAGAAGAGAAGCGTAGAGAAGAGAGATCATTAATTTTCAATTGTTGAGATCACCCATTCCCTCAGGCAAGCCTTTTAAGCAAAGAGTTTATTAATCACGACCCATCATTTGTTTAGGGGGGGAGGGGGGAAGGGGTTATAAATCACGACCCAACATTAAGGAACATAGCAGTGTACAACAGGAACATGCACGGAGACAGTGCTATGTTTAACAGTCGCTCCACAACAGTGCACGCTGCATCCAGCTCTAGGAGGCTTCTAAGCACGGTTCAGCTGCTTCCAAAGCGCGCTCCACCAGAGTATTGTCAGCTATGATCACACTACGCAAGCCAACAAAATAATCTCAAACCTTTTATTAACCAAGACAATGTTACACATACAACAAACACCGTGCATTCACACATCCACCAGATTGTCGCACCCAAAAAACACAAAAGAGACTGGGCCAACCAAAATGTAGAATACCATACTATTTATTCCAAACCCATCTTTTCAAAAAAGTGGAAAATAGGGGTTCCGGGGTTCACGGTTTTTAAAGGGCGTTCACGGTTTTTAAAGGGGGTTCACGCGAGTTTCACGCTAGTTTCACGCTGTTTCACGCTGGTCCGGGCCTGGATTCCAACCAGCCAATCTGAACACTTTTGCAGCACCATTTAAGAGCCAGTGATTAGCAAAGGCCATTCTGAACACATGGCATTACAAGCTCTGGAATTTACGCGTGTGACCCTTCACTGAAAGAACCGTCCAAAAGCAGGTACACTGTGGTTTAATGTCAACCTCCATGCAAAAAAAAAAACTAAATAAAGTACGCCAACTTGCCGGAAATTAATAATAACCCCCCCTAAATAAAATACGCCAAAATTTTGGGGATAACCAAATTTAGTGAAAAAATATTCTCAACCCTATCCTGAAAAGGAGACTGAGACAAGAAGCAATGGAATCTTGAAAAAGTTCCCACAACTCAATTGATCAATCCCCTTATTAAAACCCTATCAAAAAAAATAAAAAATCAATCTCACAAAGGGGGTAGCATTGAAGCCTCCAAGCATCTCAATAGATTGTTTGTTTTAACCCCCCTAAATAAAGTATCTCCATCTGATGGTCTCTGAATTTGTTTTAATTATCTTTAACAATTAGGCAATTCATTTAGCAATATTAAACTTACGATCCAGAACCAATGGAATCTGAAAAAGTTCTCACAACTCAATTGACCAATCCCTTTATTAAAACCCTATCAAAAAAATTAAAAAATCAATCTCACAAAGGGGGTAGCCTTGAAGCCTCCAAGCATCTCAATAGATTGTTTGTTTTAACCCCCCTAAATAAAGTATCTCCATCTGATGGTCTCTGAATTTGTTTTAATTATCCTTAACAATTAGGCAATTCATTTAGCAATATTAAACTCACGATCCAGAACCAATGGAATCTGAAAAAGTTCTCACAACTCAATTGACCAATCCCTTTATTAAAACCCTTTCAAAAAATCAAAAAATCGATCTCACAAAGGGTAGCCTTGAAGCCTCCAAGCATCTCAATAGATTATTTGTTTTAACCCCCCTAAATAAAGTATTTGTATCTGATGGTCTCTGAATTTATTTTAATTGTCCTTAACAATTAGGCAATTCATTTAGCAGTAGTCAACTCATGATCCAGATGTTGGATGAATTCTGGTTTTAATTATCCTCAACAATTAGGCAATTCATTTAACAATACTAAACTCATGATCCAGATGTTGGATAAATTCTAGTTTTATTTTTCCTTAACAATTAGGCAATTCATTTAGCAATAGCAAACTCATGATCCAGATGTTGGATAAATTCTGGTTTTAATTATCCTTAACAATTAGGTAATTCATTTAACAATACTAAACTCATGATCCAGATGTTGGATAAATTCTGGCTTTAATTATCCTTAACAATTAGGCAATTCATTTAACAATACTAAACTCATGATCCAGATGTTGGATGAATTATGGTTTTATTTTTCCGTAACAATTAGGCAATTCATTTAGCAATAGGCAATAGTAAACTCATGATCCAGATGTTGGATAAATTCTGGTTTTAATTATCCTTAACAGTTAGGTAATTCATTCAGCAATACTGAACTCATGATCCAAATGTTGGATGAATTCTGGTAATATAATTCCTTCACAATTAGGCAATTTATTTAGCAATAATCAATTAGAATCTTGATTTCTTGCTAATTGGTTTTCTTATTCGTCCTTTTAAAACAATCGTAATCCTCCTAAATAATCTTTCACCGTTTATTTCAGTGGGTTTTGATTGTTGGGGTGGGGGGGTGGGGGGGTTTACTATTTGAAGGTTAATATTAGTTCCATTGAAACCCCGTGATAAAATGGTTGACTGATACAGGACAATACGACATCATCAATTTAATGGGGATGTGTTATTGCATGCGCTGCCATGACCCACACTCGGCTCAATATCCCCAACTGCGTAAGGAACAACACCATACAACGCGCTACAGCAAATCCTTTGCCAAGACTTTCATAATCGAATATGGTATTTACCAGATTTACCGTGCATCTGCCACACCTCCACATTCACTTTTGTAGCTGCGAACTAGTGAATGGATCTACTAGGCCTTGGACAAAGACCGTATTTTTTTGTTTGGACATCATCAGGGTTAAAGGTGGGGGCATGAAAAACAAGCGAATTTAGTTAGACTTATCGTAGAATCCCTTGCGTAAAAAGAGAAACCGAGAAACCACATTTTACACATGGCCAATGTATGATGTGATGGTCAATTATACTGAATCATACAAATGATATTCCTGAGGAGTCTCTAAGCAATACATTGTTTTCTTTTTTTAATTTCGGATTGCCCAAGAAACACTCATATATATATACAAATATACTATATACACAGTTGTGTATTTGACGAACGTAAATCACAACATCATAGACCCTTGCTGACAAGAAAATCGGTTGCCAGTTTCCAGGAAGCCATTGCCTAGCGCATATGCCAACCGTAAGAATGAGTTCTCAATCTTCTCACAACTGGCTGAATTAATTGGCCGACCGCAAGCAAGCAGGTGAGGCTGGTTGGCACTCAATAAGCAATCTAGGTGAATATTTTCGACACCGTCTATAATTTCTAGCAAACCTAAGACTCAGGCCCCTTACAAGGGGAAGTGCAATTACTTGAGCTGGACATTACACATCAAAAACCAAACAACAAATAGCTGCTACATATCTATGAGCAGAACCACATATCGTGCAAATGGGCCATGCTCAATATAATAAATAAAGTTGCAGGTGTTGAGCCAAGATCTCTTCCTGGTCCATGCCTCGAATCCAAGATCTCTATCGTCGAATCAAAAAGTATTGGTGTTAGCTTTGAGTTGTGCCTGTATTAGTTTCTATTTTTAAATTGTCTTGGAAGGGGCAGCTCCCCAATCATATAATGGAATCATATTGTGGATGGTAATTTACCACATATGATATGGCTGAATGGTTGATAATCTGATGATTCTATCCTACTTATCTTATTACAGACTTTGTGTCAAAACGGTCTGTTCCATATATACTTCCACGCAGTAGTATGTAAATGGTGTTTTTACCAAGAGCTAGGCTTCAAACTGGCAAACAAAGGGGGGTTCACGGCAAACAAAGGTCGACTCCGAACCCCCTTTGTTTTAAAGGTCGAGGACTCCCAGGGTATATATATATATATATATACATATGTATATATATATATATGTGTGTATATATATGTATTTGTGTATGTATTTGTGTATGTATGTATGTATATATATATAATATACATACATATACATATACAAATGCTCGAGGCCCATAGGTACTGAGGTGTGTGATTGTTTGCGTGTGTGTGTGTGTGCGCGCTGTACTCGGAGTTTATTGGCTTGAGCATTGGGCGTGTGGTGAAAGACACACTTTTCAAATTGTGCCTGTATGGAATGGAACCATACATTGGTTTCGGGGTCGGTGTGATACACTTGTCTCAGCGGTGGCAGTCAAGTGGCCCCTAACAAGCACGGCCAGGGGGAATGTGTCCAACCGTGAGCCATCAGGTGATGTCAGTGGCAAGGATTTTGTCTCCAGCACTGCTTGGCTCCTTGGAGAAACGGCTGGGGGTGAACCTGGTCAAGGTTTGAAGGTATCTTAGTGAAGGGCCTCTATGACGCGCCAAACAATTGCACAAGTCCATTTCTTGAAACCATTTTGAGCACATGGAACCTTCATAATTAACAAGCCTGGGATTTGCAGCAAAAGCCGAACGGGGTTCTATCACCAGTCACGACATTTTCCATGTGTCAAGGTTTGCTGTACGAACATGGCCCATTGAGAGCCTTTGCCTTCAGTGCATGTGCGCTTGTCTTGGCAGCAGGTGCCTTTGGGTTGGGGGTGGGAAACTAGTTCTAGCCGTGAGCGAAGAAAATAAGGGCATGTGTGGCTGCACGTGTTTGCACCCTAGGAAAAGCAGAGACGGGAAGAGTCAGAGAGAAGAGAAGAGTAGAAGAGAGAAGATCAGAGAAGAGAAAGAATCAGAAGAAAGAAGATCCAGGTGCGCGAAAAGGTAGGAAAGTCACGAAACACTGCGTTTTTCCACTGATTTGTGGCTCCGGAGGGTCGAAAAGTAGGCTCGCTAAAGCGTCGGGTGCGAAGCCATCTGGCCAGATGAGACATGAAAAATGGCACGCTGTTGCGGCGCGAAGCACATTTCGAAGTCAAAATGTACAAAGCACACCATGTCCGGACCACTTTTGGAAGTTGAGATGTCGAAAAAGTGCACACTGTTGTGGCGCGAAGCACATTTCGAACCATGCCCGGACCACTTTTGGAAGTTGAGATGTCGAAAAAGTGCACGCCATTGTGGCGCGAAGCACATGTCGAAGTCAAATTGTTAAGACACCAGGTTTTCGGACCACTTTTGGACGTTCAGATGCCGTTTCGCGTGGCAGGCGCAAGGGATTGTGCACCTTCTCAAAAGTGAGCAAAACGTTGTAGCATTTCTAGAAACGATTGCAGGCGTGGGACGTTTGACTCCTTCGCAATCGTGTGACGGCATGCCAGACGTTCTTCCTAGCCGCTAGCCATGGACAAAAGCGCAGTAATAAAGATAACAAAGTATCCATACTTTCTCCGTGCCAGCAGTTGTCCATGCGGTATGACTTTTCTGTCCGCCTCGAGTGGCCATGATGGACCAGCGGGTCTACGCCATGGAAGATTTCCTAGCAGATGGGCGCACAACCTGTGCATGTGCAGGTGGGGGACACATGCAGTGATCCGCAGCACTTTGACAGAATGCTTTCTGACAGGCCATTTCCTGTCTCTCCATTTTCTTTGCAGCCGTTAAAGACAGAGCTGTGTGTTTTTTCTGACAGCACAAAGGCGCAGCGTCACGTTGCCGTACCGATGTCGTTTGGTCTGCTGATCACGTTGCGATCTGCCGAGAAAAAAAGCTTTGGGACAAATAGATAGGTAAGATGGTCAGATAGATGGATGGATGGATGGATAAGTAGATGGGTGGATAGGTAGATGGGCAAATGGGTAAGAAATATATTGATGGATGGATGGGTAGATAGGTAGGTAGATAGATTAGATAGATAGATAAGTTAGATAGATAGATAGATCGATAGATAGAAAGAGAGAGAGAGAGATAGAGAGATAGAAAGACAGACAAACAGACAGACAGACAGATAGATAGATAGAGAGACAGACAGACAGACAGACAGACAGACAGACGGACAGACGGACAGACGGACAGATAGATAGATAGATAGATAGGTAGATAGATACATAGATAGATCGGTAGGTAGGTGGGTAGGTGGGTAGGTAGATAGGCAGGGAAAGAGAGAAAGAAAGAGAGAAAGAGAGGAGACCTCAACCAACCACCTGTCGGTCCATCAGTGGCTTCGCTCTGCCATCCGTGACTCACAACAACCAACCTCTCCTATAGGTTTCCTAATTTTGAAACTTCCGCCACCGCCTTGCGCGGTACTACTGGTATATGATGTTCAAATTTCAAATAGTGTTCATTCATTGGTTTTTAAATATGCAACGCTTTTGAACCAATTGTCCAAATGAATCAATGAGCGACCCAGGCCTGATGGCATCACAAGCACGAGCGGCAGATGTGCAGGTGGCGCCACGACCCAAAGGACCCAAACGACGCTGGTTCAATCGGTTTTGGCGAAGGAAACTGTAGGAAACTGTAGTTTTAGTATGTTTTAGTATGTTTTAGTTGTGTACACAGCCCCAGCGGCTTGTTATGTCCCCAAGCAGGGACAATGAGTTTCTGCTGGGCGACCCCCCTGGCGAACAGCTTCCGACAAAGCCATGTTTCACCATCGGGGGGATTTTTTTTAAAGAAGTTGCTGCCAAGTCCGCAATGGAACCTTGCTTGGTTCAGTTTGCTACCATTGCAGCCGGTGCAACCAATCAACGTGTCCATTTTAGTTCCGGACGATAGATGGCAGGGATGGAGAAAAGGGGCTTTCATTTTGGTGGTGGGGTGACCAGTGGGGTGGTGGAATGTTTGGATAAGCGAGATATAATCGCCACACACACATATGAATATAATATATATATATGTGTGTATATATATATATATATGTGTGTATATATATATATATATGTGTGTGTGCTTGTATGTCAGATAAATTATATGATATATTTTTTTGATATTACATGATTATACATAGTCTAAAGTTTGGGCAGTTTTTGGGGACTGCCATGCGCAATGTCACCAAAACTGAGTTCCCTTGGGAATCAATTGAAACATGTTGAAACCTTTTGTAGAACTTCGTGCATGGGTAAGTGATAGAACATGCATGTATGGGATTTGAATAGGCGGATTCCTCATGTCGTTCTTGTTTCCAACGGCGGGCAATGAGTCTTTTTGGGCATTGAGACTGCACGCTGCTGTGATGCGATGTTTTCTAGCAATTGTTCAGCTGCACTGTAAAAGGTATTTGTTAAAACTGCATTGCTAATATTTCGACATCATTTTTGTATATTGTTGAATTTGTTGTTGCTATTTGTGGCATTAACATGCAACAAGTATATATTCCCATAAATTCCCTCATTGTCCTTGCAGTGGTCTCACAAACTAAATATATACATATATATATATATATATATTCCAGCCAGCATAGATGGCGAAGCGACACTTTTTGAAGAAGCGTATCACCTCCTATAAATAGTAGATATTGAATAATCTCAGTATCTCAGCAATAAATGGAGGGTTTTCATGGGTTTCCATTGGTGAATCATTGTGAATCCAAGGTCCAACGGCCCGCCATGTCCGCAGTTTAAAGAGCTGTCTTCATCGGCCGTGCTCGTCCTCCCACCTCGGCACTGCGCACCAGTGTGGAGTCCAAAGGCATGCATCAAGTTGTTCTGTGCGGAGTTTACCGATGATATCCAATGATATCAATGTTGATAAGTTGATATATACAATTATGAAATATACAGTTATGATCAATTTTGTGCATTTATACATATTAATCAATCGTTATATATATGTATATATATATAGAGATTGTTACGTAGTGTTTATATTCTTGCAATGTGTTTGATATTTAATGTTATTGCTGTAGAGAAGGTGTGTATTTGAACAAGATGTATGTGCATCTACTGTTGTGCTACAAGATCGCGTCAGCAGTTTTGCAGCTGTGGAACCGATGGCTTTTGCTGAGGGCTCATGGCAAATCAAGGTCGAGTCATAGGGAGAGTCAATGGGAACATGGTGATGGTTGGTAGGGATAAATATCTGCAAAATATCCGCAAAAATGACTTGATTTCTCCTTGTTTCAGGATAGTCAATTGATTGAAATGATGTATCTTATACATTCTTATACCGTGTGCACATATATATATATAATATATATATATACCTAGCACCACCTTTCGGGCTAAAATTTAAGCCTTTTCCTACAAGGATGCTTTTGAATCCTCGGGCTGAAAATTAGACCTCGGGCGGATTTTGCCATTCAGTCAGATTTTGCCATTATAACCAGGGCAGGCTCAAGGATTATTCCCTTTTTTTTTTGATTTTGAAAGACGGTAGTCGGGCGGATTTACCCACTATTCGGGCGGATTCTCCCACTATTCAGGTGGATTTTCCCGAACTGCAACCTTTTGATGTTTCTTGAATGAAGCTGCCTCGTAGTTAAAACACCATACTCAAAAAGGCTTCAGGTGGATTTTTGGGACTCCGGCGGGTTTTAAGAACTGTGGCAGAAAAACAGCCTTTTTGAGCTCAGGCTGAAATTTAAGTCTGAGGAGGCCCTAGGTATGTATATATATATATATAGATAGTATGTGTGTATTTTATCTAGATTACATGCAAGCTGGTCAGAAAAACGGACAGCGCCTTTGCCTGCACATTTCCCTGCTAACATGCAAACTGACCAAAGTCGTATTTACATGCTCCCCAGCATTTTTTGCACATACAGGTACGGTATCAAGTGATATACGATATAGATTTTTGCATTTGCATACTTGAGATGACTATGCCATGTAATGGCATGTTTTGCGGTGCTTGCATTATCACTTCTTGTGTATGTCATTTCAACCATACCTATTGTAAAGTGTTGTTGGGCAACTTGACAAAGGCATGAGCAACTTAAAACCCGCTCGCTAAGAGTGTCAGTGTGGATCTCGGTAATTTCCTCATTCTTCTGAAGGTCTGCAAAGGATTTGACAGATGAACATAACGGGTTCACATCACATTTCACATCATTTAGCTATTGTTTGGCTCTTTTCGCCCAACTGCATTGTCTCGGGCGTCAGGAATTGCAGGTGAGCCAGCGATGAATCGGATGCAGGTGCAGCTCATGTCAAATTTTACCAAGCACGAGGTATACCAAGATCCAAATATCAAAAATGACACAGCAATATGGTACACTATTGTAATGGTACCATATATTACTGTAATGTATAACGTCTAATCGCACACATACACACAATCACACAAAATATATTTGCATATTATGTAAATACATATATATATATAATAGTCATTATGTTTATTGTTGCTATCATTGTTGTCATTATAACATTATAGTGTTTACTCAGCAACGTGCCAATGGCAAGCTGCCAGGTGCCTCCTCCCCCGGGACTCGGTGCGCCAGATCGATCCCGGGCGCAAAGCAGCGCAAGTGGGGAAGCCCAGCCCAGCCGGAAATGGGTCCATTGCCGGGTCCCGTTTTGGGGATGGAAAAGGCTCCAAAATGGCTCCAAAATTCCTCAAAAAATCAGGGGCATCAGTGTGAATTACCCTTGTGAATTGCATGTGATTGCCCCCATGCTGCATCGATTTAGAGTCGAACCGATGGAAGAATGGGACAGTGATACCGACTGATACTAACCCGGTCAACAAGATTGAAATTAATTTGTACACCAGTGGATGGAATGAGGTGCCAGTTTTCTGGACTATGGAATTATAATCCTCAACAAATATGAGGGAAGCCCAAACAGGCAGGATGACAGCCGGAAGAATTGCCAACCAGCTAAGATCAACTAATAAAGTCCACCAAAATCCAGCAAAATCTAACATCAAAACAAATCAATCAGCCCAGCCAAAATCAAACAACCGAACCAAACCAACCAAACCAACGAAGTTCAGTTCTTCCCCATTGAACCCCCCCATTGAACCTGCGGCGATTTGAGGCGCTGTGTTCGAAGCCTTGGCTCGCCTTCAAGCTGAACGAGCCTCGCAGGCGAGCTGATGGCAGTGGATTCCTGACCAGGACATCAGGACATCAGAAAATTATGGGGAAACTTAGGGCTTTAAACCGCTGAGTCGAATTTTGGAGCCCTATTTTTTTTGAAAAAAGAACATGCAGTGGGATTTGTTTGCCCTTGGCTTAACCAAACGTTCATGCTTAGTGAGTGCCTTGACCATCCCTAGTGACTAGGATTACCATCCCAACTGAGGCTATGGCATGATATGATGTTAACGTATGTTAACGTATGTTAACGTATGATAACGTATAATGGGTGGGTGGCAAACGCACCAGTTTCGAAGTAAGATGGTCCAAGTGGCGGATCTGGCATTGAACCGCTTTGCAACTTGCTGCAGCAGCGTTGTACATCCATTATGGTTTCGCCAGGAAAAATCGAGGAACTCAGTTTAATTGGGAATTGATGGGAATTGAGCCATGGAAACTGAGAAAGATCCGGGCTGTTTTCCCATGGTTTTTATGGTTTCCACATCCCCCACCCCCTAAAATGTACACTGAGGGGGAGGGAGGCAGGGCATTTTTCATACATTTCCAACCCCCCCTCCCTCTGAAACAGCATTTATTGTATGATTTTTTTTCGTAAAATTAAGAGATTACCTAAAGAGGTGGGGGGTCGTCCTAATATATTTTCAGTATTTGGCTTCAAAAGCTTGTTTAGAAAAAGGTGGGGTGGGGTTTCATACATTGGTTTAGCAAGGCCATGGATCTTTGATGCTCATGGAGTTTTCCTGGGGAAGCTTACGAAATAGCATGACGCTTTTGAGGCCCCTCCCCCTGAAATCTAAGTTTGCCAAAACATAGGAGGCCACCTACCCCCATGGGTTAGTACATTAATAATTCATATAATTCCCAAATTCGGAGGGGGGGAAATTTGGAAGGGGGGAATTGAGATGGGGGGGTGCAGATGAAGTGTCATGAATGTATGCACCTGGGGGGTCAGCAGCAGTTTCACGCCGCGCTTTCATTAATTATGCATGAAGTTTGTTTTGTGAATACTAAATGCAATACTGGTAGTATCCAGTAGTTGTTGCTGATTCGTGTGTGCCTTTTCCCAACAATTTTTAAGAGCTGTACGGTACCGAAAGGATGCCTTTTTTAAGGTTGAGCTTTGGGTTGAAGATGGTTGAAGTGTGCTGAAGTATGTTGAAGTTTTGCGGGCTTCGAGATTGCGTGCAATGTTCAAATATATCTTGTTGCTTCCAAATGTTGCCGTGCGATGCTTTGCATCCTTGCTTCTAAAATTGCACGCAAAGCATCGTGGAAAAATACGCCGCCGTCCTGTTTTCTGCAGATCCCATTCAACAAGCCTCGAAATTTTGTGAGATTGCAGCCTTTGCAAAGAGAGCGACTGGAAATTGCTTGGGTCTCATTGATTCTGTGGCCAGATATCGAAAGAAGCAGTGGAAATCAACCAAAAGGCATCATCATTTTTTGAGGTTGGAACAACATTGTCAAGCCCGCAAATACCCGCAAACGCCCGCAAAACCAGAACAGTTGTAATTCTTGTTGTTTTCCAATCAGTGGATTTTTTCAGTTTTTCTGCTAGATGGGTTTACTAGAAGCCTGAAAGTTCATACGCAAGCAATGTGGCTCTGCCATCAGTATGCGTGGGTGAAGGGGAGAATATTGGAGATGCGATGAGGGCACCCGAGAAACTTGAACATATATGCACCCCCAAACCTCGACATGATTTTCTTTACTTCGCCATGTTTTCCAGCAGCACGCCGTGAACGACATGTTTTTGTTTGAAACGATGTGAAATCATGAACGCCTAGCAAAATCTTGTCAAGGGAGGATCGAGGTATACTTTTCGACTTTTCTTCTTCCCTCTCACCTTTTCGACTTTTCGGGTTTTCGTTTTTTTGGTGTTTCTTCTTCCCTCTCGACTCAACAGTTTAAATCTTGTACTTTCGGCTGCGAATGTTCGGAAAGGCACCCGTCAAAAAATTAAAAAAGTCAAAAAGTGAAAAGTCAAAGAGTGTCCTTTTCGCCTTTTCGGCTTTTCGACTTTTTGGCTTTTCTTCTTCCCTCTCGGCTCTCAACGCTTTAAATTGTGTACTTTTAGCTGCGCATGTTCAGCTGGAAAAGCATCCGGCAAAAATTCAAACAGTCAAAAAGTGAAAAGTCAATTTTTCGACTTTTCGAAATTTAACATAACCCGTTCTTACTTTTCGATTCTTCGACTTTTCGAAATTCACAAAAAGGCACCTTTTCACTTAACGATGTTTTGCATTTCGACTTTTCGAAATTCAATACGAAACCTTTCCATTTTTCGACTTTTCGTTTTTCGACTTTTCGAAATTGATTTGAATACTTTCCGCCAGGAGCCTTGCAGCACATTTTTCCTACCCAGTTTCTCCCCATATTTTATACATTTGATATCGTCTCGTGTCAGTCAGATTACTGCAATAAATGAACATAGTCCCCCCTAATTCCCCCCTATGTTTCATACATTTTAAGATTCTTAACTTGCCATGAGTTGATACTTCATAGTAGCAGCTCACCCCCCAAAGGAATACATTTTTGGGGTTTGCCAAATATTGTTTTGTGCTGGTGCAAAGCAGGTCCCCCCCATGTCTGCACTCAGCCAAAAATCATAATCTATAAACCTGCTTGACACCTCTTTCCGTCGCCGACCTTGACCACCTGTCCCCCCTACCGGCCCTACCGCTGGAAATGTATATGAAGCGCGGGGGGTGTATATACACACGGAAGGCAGGGGGGTGTTTCCACTATGTTTCCTGGGTTTTCTCCAGGCATTGGATGCAGCGATTCTAGCTGCCCACATGAGCGCCGCCACGGCCACGGCCACGGCGCCACGGATGCCCAACTGGGCGCATGGCGAACGCGGTGAACGCGGCGATCGCCGTGAGGAGAGTGGGAAGTTGGCGCCTCAGCGGGGAGATAATCCGTTAAGGACATAACAATGGCATTTGACGTTTGTCATGATATTTCTTGAGATGGATAATGAACGATAATGACGGATAGAAAGAGTAGATTGAAAATAGTTGAGATACTTTCGATAAAGTAAGTAATTATAAAAGATGAATGATACATATTTGTACCTTCCTCTCCATATCTCTCCATTTGGGCTTCCAAGGTGGAATGAGACGTGGTCACAGGCATCTACAGCCTCCGCCAGTCCAAGAGGCCCGTGGCCAACAGCTGCTACGGTAGCAATGTAAGACTAGTAGTAGCTACGTGCAATCAGCATTTTGAATAGGCCCGGCAAATCGTCTATAAATTGATTATAGATATTTATAGATTCATATAATTTTGCATCATTTTTCATTTTCCATCGATCTGTTTAAATACTGGATGTCATTTGTAATGATTTTGCGAACAGTTGGGTGACATGGCATCGTAGTCTGGACATGTTTGGGCCTCTTCGGACTGGCGCAGGTGCTGAGGACAAGATGTTCGTTCAGCACGCAGTGGCGTGGCCGTACCTTCTGCTGTTGGGGATGGCTCCTGATAATCTACCCCACGTATCCCACATAAAAAGTCTAGAACTTCCAGAATCTTCCAGATATCTGGAAACACGGATTTGCAAATTCATGTCTCTTGAATAAGCATAATTACCTCCTTGGTGTGAAAATGATCAAGACATGATTTCAGTTCATCACTATCAGGCGAAACAGTTTTATCATATTTTATCTAATGGTTTGATATGGTTTGATTATGTTCAGTTGATCAGTATTGAATAGCTCAATTGTCCAAATATCAGCTTATTTGAGATCCCTACCCTCTTAAAAATGAAATTTGAGGAGGGGAGTCGTACTGAAATTTCATTTTAAAATTTCATTTTTGCATTTATTTTTCTCAATGATCAACATTCCTCGTCATTCCATATCATTGGCAAACAGAGGAAAATTAAATTCTTACGCTTAGCTCCGGAGGAACTAAGCACATGTCAGACTGAAGCAGCACATATGTAGGGGTGGCATCCCTCCAAAAATTGCGTTGCAAGTATTTTCTAACCAGTGCCCAACGCTTGTCAAGAAATGTTACAGTACTTTAAAATTCCATTTGAGCAAGTGGATCACTATCCCAGGGTTTCCAAGCAAAAAAAAGTGGAATTCGACAGGTTGGTTTTGCCCCCCCCCCCCCGGCCTCCCCCTCTATAGGGGTAGGGATTATTTGAGTTTATTAAAATATATTAAAATAGTGTTTTAGCATCAACATATGTTTGCCGACATCTCGGCTTTACTACCAATTGCTTTAATGTGTTCAAAACATTTTAAGACAATACATAATATAGTTACAATAATAACAACAATGATATTGATGTAATAATGATAATGACAATAATCCACATATTTTGATGGTTTATGCCACCCATTTTTTGGTGAAATTGGTGATGGTCCGGATGGTGGATCCTGTAGCTTTAGTCACATTAATTACTCATGTTTGGGGATGGTTTACTCATGGTACTGTGCATCCACAGTAGTTCCTGTTAATATCAGCAACAAGAGATATAGTTTTAGGAATTAACTTTCAATGTTTTAGTGGGATGTATATAAGTATATAATAACTAAACAATGGATACTTCATATACGCACACCAATTATACTTTTGTTAGTCACTTCACAGCTATTCATCCATGATTTTATAACATTTTATCTACGTCCCACAGGTGAAAGACGAAGCTCAGCTCCGCAAGCACAGCGGCCGTCCCAGCCGTCCATCGTCGACTGCTTGGGCAGCCGGGCCCCGAGGCGGGGAATTGATAGGGGAAATGATGGTGAAACCCGTGGTAAAACTGAACATCTGTTGGAGGTGGATGAGGTGGAAAATTTAGGGAGATCGGGGGATATTTATGATGAGCATTTAAGGATTTGCAATTAATTTGGGTTCAATTGCAATTAATTTGGGTTTGGTTTTTTGAATATCCCTTAGGCTTTTGATTCCATGTAATTCTTGGATTTTCATCCACATGCACACCAAATGTTTAGAGGTATTGGAGAAGCCCATCAGCGGTCCATGTGTTTGACAGAAGGGATACTGTGAGCCCCACGCGTTTCTGAATCTTGTTGTTCTTTGTCAAATTGAATTCACAATCCCCGCAGACACAAATGAAGTGACTTTTAAGTGCGCCTACAGAATAAGTGGTAATTAGTAGACCCAGCTCCACTGTGCGATTTGATTTCACATATCACATGCAGGGACTCAGCTTCAGTAAATAGGACTGGTATATTGCAGGAATCCTTTCGGATCCGGACCCGGTGGGCCACCAGCAAATCCCCACAAAAACAACGAACAAAACGCAAACAGCGAGGGAAGATAGTCACATGTGGCCCAAAGTTTTGTCTTTTTGATTTTCTTTACTGTATTTTCCGCGCGTTTGGGCTCCCAGTGGTTTTGGATCGTGGAGTAATTTTTGAATTGTCACAAGACGCGCAAGACGCCCAATTTCACCGGATTTGTTTGATTTAATCATGTGACTACTTTCCTTTGATAACTCGGTGGTGTTTCTCACATGCTTGACACACCCCGCATGGACATATTGGCTGCATGTTGTGTTCCAGTGTTTGTTAAGTCACTGGAGGAGCTTTTTTACTTGTTCGGTAGGAAAGCAAAATTGCCTGACAAAAAATATGTAACTGTTTCCTCAAAACGTGCCAAATACTCTTGCCAACATGAGTGAGTTGGGCTGTGGTCTCTAGTTCAACCGATTGCAGGCACACACACACAGACACACACACACAACCACGTGGCAGCAAAGTGGCAACAAACCCATATCTATATTTTATTTAAAGGACGTATGTATATATACATATCTCATATATCATATTTATATATATATATATGTATACGCAAACGCGATCATATTTGCAAATATGCGCATATATTATGTATGTTTGTGTGGTGCTGAAACTTTTCGGACATGAGGTGCATTTTGCACCAATTTTGTTCAGGGTGTAATGACTGTGGTGAGCTGTTTTTCCCTTTTTTTGTACTCTCAAAGAAGTATTGAGCCGATGCTGCCAAGGATTTGAAGACTCTGCACTAGGCTACTTCATGATATTTTTCTGCTTATGCAATAATTCTTGCACACGAGTGTATTGTTCTTTGAGGAAAGCAGTTGTCACTTCATACACTATTTAGGCACACAGTTTGAAAAAAACGCCAACCATTTTCAAAGAACACACTTTCCCCAGAAAAGTGCAGCATCACTTTCAGAGAGGGCAGCAACTCCGTGACAAGAGTGCAGTAAAGACCAGCTTTCAATGAGTCTTTCAAGATATACAGTATCCACACAGATAAAAAGCAGTGTTACCTTTCAAATTCAGTCCTTTGACATACAAGTCTGTTGCCATATGCAGTAGATATTGTTTCAAAACAGTCCAGTTTCTTCCCTTGAGAAGGTGCTAGATATAATCTCTCAACATATCATGCGCATTGGTAAAAGCGTGCCGCTTGCTTGTAAGAGAGTGTCGCATCGCTGTGTGCACAAAAAATGGCTAGAAGAGAGCAGCATTTCTGTGAAAAGAACGCGGCATTTCCTTGAACATGATGCAGTCTATATTGCTTTGAGTTCAGGGAGCCCTCAAAATGCGCGGCATTCTTCCGAAACGACAAGCATTCCTCCGAAAGCAAGTGCCATCCCTTTACTAAAACCTCTCCCGTAACATATATATATATTATATAATTATAAATAATTTAATGCATATACATGTAAATGATGTACATATATGCATATCATACATATATCATACCTCATATATATATATGCAACTGTTCCATGGATTTTTGAAAAACACAATATTCCGCTAGTAAACAATGTAGTAGCACTTTATGCAATTTTACCCTTGGGAGAGTTCTGGATTACAATACTTCTTTGAAAGAGTACCATTGACCACATGTAGGCATGTTTTTCAGGAAACTTCTTGGCAAAGAAGTTGAGGAAATAAGTTTTAAAAGATAATGGCGGAAAGATTTTTTCGTGTGAAAATAAGGGCCGCACCTCTATTGCTCATTGGCTATTGCGTTCGCACGTTTTGCCCTGAGAAACCCCCAGGCAAGCATTGCACTGGGACTGGTTGGGGCATAATCGATGGGTTACCAAAATATTGTAGCGTGATAGACTCATTAAAACACAACTAGTACATAATGCAACAGATACGCTCCGACTTAGTTGATGAGTTTCCAGCTCATCAAGTACCTCAATCTCATGAGTATCCCATGCACTGACTATAGTTTATTTCATGCTCATTAACGGGCGGAATCTTTCCATCGTTTGGTGGAGGTGGCTTTAAGCGTTGGGGATTCCAGCGAAATTGCAATAAACCCAAATATATAGCAATTCAGAAACATCGATATGGTAGATCTTGGGTTGCAAAAATGTGAACCTGACTTCCACCAAAGTCGTTTGACTTTGGTAGATCTTCAAATGCAAAACCAAATATGGTAGATCTTGACCCTTCAAAATGTGATAGCAAGATCTACCGTATTTTGCTGGGATAAGGAACATCTACCAAAGTCAAACGACTTTGGTAGAAGTCAGGTACACATTTTTGCAACCTGACTTCTACAAAATCTTTTTTTTCAGACCAAAATTGTTGCTATTAATTTGGGTCTGAGATTTCCCAATTTTCCACCAAAGTCGATCGACTTTGGTAGATAATTGGACCCTAATTAATAGCAACAATTTTCCAATCAATTTTCAGGACTTCAAGTGGAGAGATTTCTGAAGGGTGTTTGCCCCATATTGCTCCAATATTGCTATTGTAGATCCTGATTTTTGGTCGATCCAACCCAACTAGACAAGCTACATAATGGGATGCCTACTGACTGCGCAGCACATAGCCTCACAGAATTCTTCTGTGCAGGCCTGTGATGCGACTGACCATGTTGAGCAATTTTCAGACATTACATGTGCTTCCATCCAGAGTTTCACTTGTTTTTCATTTCACGGCATGGGCTCGTATGGACACGTATACGGCTAGCCACTACGCGGCTAGGCCCCCAAGACCAAAGTTATGGAGCAAGTCTGTATGAAGGTGAGGTGTGCCCTTCCAAATTGCAATGTTTCTTGACAAAAATGCAGTCAGAAGTGAAACAAATGATGCACCAACAAAAAACATCGCAGCCAAAGCTACCACTTGCTTGAGAAGGGGTCGCGTTCGCATAAAGTGCATGTCCATGAACAAGTGCAGTATTCATTGCACGTCCATTTCTCAAAAAAAAGGGCTTGCTCAAGAAGTGCCATATTCTTCAAGAACATGTAGTGTTTACATCAGAAAGTACCGCCAACAAGTGGCACGCTGTAGTCCCATACAGCAGTCTTTTGAGAAGTTGGGTGCCTTCAGAAAACACATTGTTTCTTCAGATCAACGCAGCAAAAATGCAGTATATCAGTATGCTGTGAGGTGTGTCTTTTTGCATTCTTTTCAAAATTCAAGATCCTCTGCGAAGGAGCAGCCTCCACATTGAGAGCCTATGTGTACAACGCAGCGTTTCTCCAAAGGGGTATCTGTACCCTTTTTAGAACGTATAGCTCCATAATTATGCGCAGCATTCCTTTAGTGCAGTGCACATACACACATATACGAAAGAAAGGGAGAGAGAGAGATATATATATATAATTACATATGTAGTGTCATAATATATATAAATTTTGACTTACCAGGGGAAGCATTGCAGGCAAAGCAAAGTTCCGTTCAGAGAGTGTCAATTCTCTTAAGGTGTTGGATTTGGAGGGTTTCTTTCAAATGTGCTATATTCCTTGGAGGGGAGGTGCCAACCATCAAGGAAAACAGACAGCATTCCCAAATACATATTTAAATGTGGTTCATTCCAATCACATACAAGGGCCAGAATAAACACAATGTGATTGTTGCAAAGTGCAATATCCATAAAACTGAATGTTGTGTATAGTGCCCTGTACCTATGTTTAGGTTGTTCCAGGAACCTGTAAAGGTTTTGGAGCAATCTTCACTGTCAATCCTGTACTTATGATTTGTTCTAAAGATGGTCCCGATCTTACACTATGTAGTTCCAGTGGTTTCAACATCGAACATTTCCAAAAGAAACATCGGACAATCTTCAATCAATCCCTTACTTTTCACTTTCTGGGGACCGTCCAGGCTTTTAATTTACTCTTGAGTTTCAGTGGATCAAAGATCGAATATTGCCAGGACAAAGGCTTTGAGGAACACTTCCACCTTAAGTTTTGAATCCAGTGAACTTAAAGTGCTTGACAGCTCTTGAAGAATGTTCATTATACAAGGGATAGAATATTACCAGGAAAATTGGGAGAAGTCTTGCAGTTTTTTTTGAAGAAACTTAACATCCATGAGCGGCCTGATTTATGCTACGTAGGGGATTGAATATTTCAATGAAACTGTCGTAGAATCTTGAATTTTCAGCGTAGCGAGCTTCGATGTGCTTTTAAGTCCCTATACATGGCCGAATGTACGTTAAGCGCAGGATTTAAAATCTTATAGCTTATGTTGAATTATGTCGAAACAATACTCTATCTTCAAGCTATTGGAACTTGAAAGTAGGTCATTTCAATCCCCTAAGTATCCAAAAGTAAACAATTTGGTTGCATGCGCTTTACCTTAGTAAGACAAACAAATCTGACGCAGAAAGGCCGCCAAGAGAATCGCATATATTTCTGTACGCATGTAATATTATACCTATTTAAAATTATATATGTATATATGTTATACCGACAAATATGTATATAGTCTATATGAGAGAAGTTTTTTTTGATGTCCAACGCTGACACTGAGGCCCAAGACAAAAAATATGTATAATTGCATATACAATATGTGTGTATCGCACTGCAATGCCAATTATACCTGCACATGAAGATCAACATCACATATGTCAACATATATATATATATGTATTTGATCTACATGGCCCAAGGCGCATTCAAAAAACCAGACCCAAATTAATTGCAATTGAACCCAAATAAATTGCAATTCCTTATTTATGGAAATATTTGGCGAGGGCGAGTTTGCAATATATATGGGATGATTTTTCGATCAGGATCGGTCCATGGGGATGGGTGAAGATGTTTTGCGATATGCTTCCGCAGCCTGAACCAACCCACGGACTTTAGCAGCTATACTTGAAGGTTAGAGTACTTGAATACTATGTGAATGATAAACTATGTTGATTAATGTGTATGATATTGTATCGTATCATGTATTATCATATTGTCACCAGTTGCAACTCCTTTTCCGACAGTATCGTGACAGTCATAGCAGCCAACTCCCAGCCAGGCTGCCAGCCCTTTGATGCCTCGCATAGATTGTCTCCGGGGCAACCAGCCTATGCCGGGCATCCAGTGACGGCAAATCTTGGGATTTGAAAGGCTTGCTGCAACTTGGGGGTTTCTTACATCAAGGGTTTGGGAATTGGACCTTTGATGATTTTTCCTACAGAAAACTGGTCGTTTCGATCATCTGGGCCGAGGTCGTGCCACAGCTACGTTCCGTAGTTCCTGGCTCCGCGCCTATTGTTCCTACCATAGTTTGGGGGTCCCAGATGGGAATGGAGGTAAGGCAGCTTGCGCAGGCCGTGTTGAAAGGAAGATTTTTGGGGATGGATTATACTGGATTGGGTTCATGAACATGAGTTGGAATACCTCAAGTACCTCCCGGGTTTTAGTTAAGTCTGGATGTTTTGGCCAGGATGTCTCAAGCATGGCACAGATGCTTTGAGCACAGCAATGAGCAGGCAAGCTGTGGGTCAGGGCATGCTTGGGATATGTTAGGATGCATGAACGTGTAACGATGTTATTTCTTCCAGTTGCTTTCTTATGACACAATATTGAGGGCGCTAGGTTTTAGACGTTGTTTATTTGTTGAGATGTTTTTTTTCTGCAAGCTCGAACTCTTCCTGGCAGGAAGCTAGCTGTTGCCGTCGTAAGGGGCGGCTTTTGACATGAACTTTTGCGAGGGAAGGCTGCTGTGCTAAACGAATTGATCACTATTTTAACTTCCTCTTAGAGTCGCTCATCGTTCCAGCCATCTCCCTGTGAGAGTTCATGTTGCGTGGGAGTCCCCAGGGGGGTTGCGATTGCTATGCAGCTGGCAGGGTGATTAAGGCCATTCCCCCCCAGGGATTTTTCACAATGGGATGCTTCACCAATTCACCAGGTCTGGTTCTACATGGTTCTACACATGTCTATGCCCATCAGCTGTGTGAAAGCGATCCCCTTGTGCTGCCCCATGCCCTTGTGAAGTTTGCTCCCAGAGATTTCCTGGCGGAGTCGTTATAACGACGTGACGTGACCCGCCCGGGGGCATCTGGTGGCGCAAGGGATCCAAATGCGATTAATCTGAGAGTCCGGAAGGCATGGGAAGACTGTATAGGATATATATATATATATAGATATGGTTCACACATGGATGATTCGGTGCAAAATAATTTGCTCAACTATTATTCTATGGATAATCTATGGATAGATGTTTGGAAAGAAATCTATACTTTGAATATGTAGGTGGTGGGCAAGCAACCAGTCTCATGGGAAATGGTGGAAAGACACCTACCATTGATAACTTTGGCCGACTTTGGCCTCTTTTAGATGTAGAAAGTAGTATATCAATTACTATATCAACTTTCAGCTCCGCCTGTGCACTTAGGGCCATTCATTTGTAACAATGTACTGGAGTCGCCATGGATGGAAAGATTGAACAGCTACAACAAAATTTACACAAAGAACCATGTATTCTTTTGGGTTGTTTTTTCATTGTGGGCATGTCATTTTGGAAACCATGTAGTTCAACCCGATTATTTCCGCACAGCCGCATTGCAGAGTATTCTAGTCTGGCCTAACTTCATCAGTTGTGCACACCAGTCCGGCATCACATAGTGTCGTTTGCACATGTAAATCTATATGTATACGTAATCTCTCTTTGTCTCTCTCCCTAACTGATATATATATATATACAATATATATATAATATGTTTTAATGAGTCATCGCCGTTCATCTTTCATTGCATTCAGAAAAAAATCGACTCCCATATGGTAACATCAGTTGCAACCCGCAGAGTAGCCATGCCTTCCTGCTGGCCATGCCATGTTTGCTCGTCACAAGCGAAGCCTCTGGAGCCCTCTGCTTGGCCCAAGCCGTGAACCCTTGGGACTTTGCAACGCTGGCGAGGCAAATCTGCGAAAGATTTGCGACAAATGAAGAGATAAAATAAAATACATTTTTGTACGTTAAATGTGATTATAGATATTTTTGTACGTGATTGCAGCACACTAGTTCATGTCAATGATGTGATAATGAGGAGACATGATGTCAACGCAGAAGGAATAAGCCGGCGAGATTGTTTGCCTTATGTCCTGCTGTATAATATGTATATATATATACATAGAGAGAGAGTTTTTATGTACATATATATATATTAATATGTATTAGAACATATTAATTTAAGGTGTATATTACACACATATAGACATATACCAGCAGAAAACATCACTAGGCCATGCCCCGGCTTGGGCTATTTGAGGAGACAGTTGGCAGTCGCAAGACACGGCAGATCTGGAAGCGGCTCGGGGACATGAAGAACATCCTGCGAGGATGGCCAGATCAGGATACAGCAAAGGAACTCATAGCTTGGGGAAATGTCTCATTTCGTTGACTGATTTGCTGTACCTATCCAAGTGAAAAGGATTGTTATTGTCTATATATAGCGGCCATAGCGAGCTATCGAATGACCAGAGGCTATCTAATTTTGAAGTACTGCAGGCATAAAATTTGCATGCCCTGACCTCATTTAATAATTTTGAACGACCCAAATTTTGCGACATTGTGCGGGTATTAATTAATGAACACCCAAAATTAATCAAAAAACACAGGTTTGCTGTCACATCAGACCATCAGAATTTTGGTGTCAAGAATGTGGAGTCAATTGCTTTATGTAGCTGTAGATTGTATTTTGTTGCCCTTGTATGATTCGTCGCGGGATAGTGGCACCACTGAATTATATTGCATGTTTTGCATGTTGATGTTGAGGCAAACAATCGAAGTGCATTGCAGATGTCAGAAATCGTCCCCCAGACACGTCGACACGGATTGTTGTGATTGGATCATTTTGGATCTTAGCTGATGTGATTTCTAAAAAATAGATAAAACTAGGAATCAATCTGAATCAATCTGATCAAAGTCATTTTTTTGGGGAGCACTTGTTCACTTTTGTTCACTTTTGTTCACTTTTGCATGGCTGATCTTGATCCTCGCAAATCCTCGCTTCATTTTGCACCAAGCTGCTACGGGGGCATGGTCCTATGTCCATGTGGGCGGTGATGAGAACTTGCTATCTCGCCCCTCCGTAAGTAGTAGCGTTCGGTCCTTCAGCGGGTCAGCTGCGGGGTGCGTTTTGTGCATCCGCAGCCACCTGAGATCTCCAGATGTTTGACAGCAAATTAAATGTCACCATTAGCTTTTGGAGTGGGACTTGAAACTTAAAATCAAAGCTGAACAGATCACGACATGGCCTATGCTTTGTGACTTTGTGATTCATTCTTGCCGTCCAAAAACAAATGAGTTCAAATGACGATCTGCAGCATTGAAGCAGATTGTTTGTTATCAAAGCCCTGGCATATCCATTTCCAGGATTTGCATCATGCTACAGGTATGTAGAATACAGAATGTTTTTGAGATTTTTTGAGTACTGTAGGATACATTTTAGGGCTGATCACCAACAGATGTCTTCCCAGCATGCTTACAGGGACAAGCTATGACAAGCTATGACAAGCTTCAGTCAGAATTCCCTGGAGATTTGGGTCCGCCAAAATCATGGCGTTTGCCGGGCTTCCCATGGGCCAAAATCAGCACTTGGGGGCTGTAATACACCATGCTCAGCTCCCTGTGGAGAACAACTCAATTTGGTGCAAGACGGGAGGGGGAGGGCCCTAGACGTGATGCGCAGCACTCAAAGGACCAATTACTACCAATTATACTTCGATATACTTCGTGATGCAAGAAATCTTGTCTTACAACTGTATGAATCATATATTATTTAATCCAATCTAATCTGAGTGCTATTCTATGGTAATCATGTTTCCAGAAAAAAAAACATGTGCATGTTTGCCGCCTACCTAGAAAATGATAGAACACATTAATAACATACAGTGACTCAGTGGTCGTGCGAGTCCTGCGGGTGCTGTCACCGTGGTGGCTCTCCTGAATCGAACACTCCTCTCAGTGTAGATAGACTTGTATATACCTTCGGTACAACCAACCTGGGCCCTCAAGATGCCTTTTTCAACATTCATGAACCATCTTGATCCATCTTGAAACGATGGAATCGCGGTTGGAACTGATGCTGAAAGTTTGGTTCTGTCCAATGATGTCAAACAAAAAATCATGTAACTTATATGCCGTGGTTTCTCCTCAAAGATGGCAATGTTTGAAGGTCCAGGAATACCTTGATGCATCCAATTCAGCTGATTTGCCGATAGGGCAATGGCTGCACAGGCGTCTCTACGACGGCTTTTTGGGTTCTGGGGATCTGCAGTTCCCGCGATGTGGACTCCATACCACATGGTTGACAGGATGTGCGCGAAACACAACTGGAGCTACAGCAGCTGTCACATTTGATTATTTTTGCTTACATTTTTTTAAAGAACTGAATAATTATGATATAATATGATGATGCTGCATAATTATATTCTGATTGTGCATGTCATTTCATACTATTTCATGCCAAAATATGTGTTATTTCCAGCAAGCCCACCTTCGCAGAGTCCTTCATCGTTGCCTCAGCTGGGATCCGCTGTTGTGGTCGCACCAGTCGAGGGTGACTCGATGGACATTTAGTGCATGTTCCAGGTTGGATATATGTAAAATGTGTAGAATATATATGATATATATGCTGAGAACCGTTGAAATTGAGTCACGAGATGAAACAGCATACTCTAGGCAATTTGCAGGCCCATAGCCTTTTTTCTTTATGCGCTACCTGGCCGTTGCCATTGATGGATTGTCATGACTTCATTGCCAAGAGACCCGACTGGTGAGATAACCACTCATGGACTGAGAAAAGCAGCTCGAATCAGGTCAAATAACATGCATCTGCAGATGAATACACCTAATTAGTTCTGCCTTTGAACGCTACCTTCTGACCCAACGCGCAGCATCTCCGCTCCGCCTTGGGATGCATGATTTAGGATTTGGCAGAGCTTGTGGGATCAATAGTTTCGAAACGGTAGAGCTTTGCATAGTTTGCCCAAACACATGACATCTCAGGATATCTCAGGGGCATTTCTGGGATGTCGTTCTCGAATTCTAGACTGAGAAAAACTGTAGAGAGAGAGAGAGAGGGAGAGTTCATGCAATACTAGCGAGTATGGATATGGGCCCATTCAGAGATTAGAGCCTCATAACTCCTCCACATTTCAGCAACATACGTTCCGGTCAGAACACAACCTGCGGCTTTTAGCGGCTTTACCATTACCTTCAATTTGTTTCTTGGTCAAAACGGAGTACAAATTGCAACTACTCGGATGGAACCTTAGCTTTCCCTTGTCCTATACTCATTCTGGGGCTGCTTAAAGAGCTGCGTCAAAATTTGGACTCCTTCTGGCCGGATATTCATCATATTCAGGCATTTGGCCAATGGACAAACACTTGCAGGCATTTGTAATCTTTGACATACCCCACGGACCTGCAAGGAAATCAGATGAAGAGAGAGAGAGAGAGAGAGAGGGGGAGAGTGTGTGTGTGTGCATTGGAAATTATGACTTGGTTCGGTGGTATGGCTTTTTGGATTCAATGAAGTCCCCTTCGCTGATCGATTTAAGACCTGCAACCGGATGCCTCTTCCGCAGAGATCAAACACCCAACAGATAAAGACGTTCATTCAAGGTCAAAGCCCAGATGGACATCCATGTAACTAAGAATATGCAAGACGTTTGGAACCTGAATATGCCATCATACCCTGTGCGTCTGGAACCGACCCAGC